TGTTTGGCTTGGGCCTTGTATCAAAGATCGTCTCGATTATACCGAACCTAACGTATGTAAATGGGAACCAAATAATCATCCAGAGTTTGTTATATTTATAGCATCTGTTGGTCATCATCTACCATGTTTCTTAATTCTTGTATGCTATTTCTCGGTAGCAATAAAAATGAAAAGAACTGTTAGCTCTTTAACAAATGATCAGATAGTAGAAAGAAAAAGAATTAAAGAGAAAAAGGCCTTCGCTACATTGTCATACGTAGTACTTGCATATGCTGTTTGTTGGATTCCTTTTCATTTTATCTTCGACTTGAGCGCTGTCGACATGAAATTGGTTCCTGAATGGTCAGTAACGTAGAATCAGAGATTTTAACTTGTAATAATAGCTAAACCTTCTAATTCTATTAAGATATAGAAAAGTAATATATTGATGGACTATCATTAACTTAAAAAATCTATTAAAGTTAAAACTTAGCATATATTCTAATTGAAACAAAGTTTATAAGAAGAAAATCTCTTGTTTTGATGAAATTTGGTAGATTAGACGTCACTGTTGGAGTTTAACTTATATCAATTAATAGATTTAACAACTATTCTCTGATTCTAGGTTATACACGGCAACTTTTTGGATGACTTATTTAAATAGTACATTTAATCCCTTCGTATATGCCTTCAGCAATAAGGATATGAGAAAAGCAATTGTTAAGATTCTGTTTTGTAAAAATAAAGCAGAACCAGTTTCAACAGAGACTGACGCCAATATTGCCACCGTAAATTGAATTAAAGATCCCAGAATTAGCCGAAAAGATAACTATTAGTTAGATTATTCACAAGAGTAAATCTGGAGAGAAATATTCTATGAAATTGTATTAATTACTTCAAATTGTGCACTGTGAACTCTTTGAATTGGTATAAAACACCCGTACGTACTTTGATGTTGAATTAGATAAGCTCCTTAGGGAATATTTTCAACTATTCACAACGCACGAACAAACTAAGTGAAATCTTTGATTTAATAATTCCAATAAACCCTTTCATCGTTTATATTGCCAATTAAAAATTATCGTTTAAACAATCTTGAATCACTTAAACGAACCCAAGCCTTTTGTGATCTCTTTCAAGAGGAAACGTAGCTGAATGGAATAAAAAGATTTATGGTCTATTTTAAGGATTGCGAAGAGGAAATAAAAACTCTTTTAATAGACTAATTTTAACATCTATGTAAGATAAATCTTTACATAATTATCTTGTATTCATAGTTCTACAACGGAAGGAATAATGTAAATGAAACTTTAAATACAAGTTAGATATAATACCAAATCTTTATAAGATATATGTGTATGAATAACTGCTTATTTATTAATAACTTTACACAATCGTTGCATATAAACAGTCTATGGTTATGGAAAGAAACGTTTCTGTTGGGCCTGAGCATAAACTCTTTTACTATTTTGATTTAGTTAATCTTGTCCTTCCTATATACTTTAGATCTTTGCAGATGAAGAACAGTTTTTTCACGATGTAATTTTCCCTCCTAAAGTGAAGAGTTTGTATCATAATCGCCATTTTTGAAAAATAATATCTTGTCAGTTGATATCGTGATAGTTATCAAGGTTCAGGTTCGCCAAGTTCAGTCTTATTCCTTCATATAATTCGTAAATCAACATATTTCCGTAAAATATCATTTTCATCCCGCTGGCTTTACATCTTAAACTCTCTGTAATTTTTCATCTGACACCTTCTATACCAGGATTGTTATCTGACAGTGGACAGTGCCCCGATTAGAATGATTTCGCGCGAATGTGACTTAAGACTACTAATCCTGTCATTAATTTCAATAGAAAAACTAATAGAATAGAAGTTCTATTATTCAATATTTTAATCAAGTTTTAATCACTCTTGCTTTGTGTTTGAGTAAATCTTTATAATAATATATTTTAAGTTTCATATAACCAGCTACCTTAAAAGTCGTTAGGAGTTTATAATTTGATATGAATATACATTTTTTTTATCTAACTATAGATATTGTAAGATAATTCGTGACAAACTTAGAGCTTTGCTCGGAAATATCAAAATAATATAACAAAATGAATTTATATATACATATAATATATACAGTATAAACAGTAATATGAAACGCTAGTTTAATAAATAGCATATCATACTCTTCTATAAAAAAACTTATGATTCACCAATTTGTCATTCAATTTCTTATTCGTACTTTTTGTTTCGTTCTTATCAATTTGATACCATTTGTTATAAATTTCATCTTTGAAAAGCTTGAGAGGCTTGTTGCTTTAATTCCTAAATAGTTAGTTTAATATTTAATAGTCGTAACAACACCAACGCTGACTGAACAAAAAGATTTAATTAAAATGTCTTTACAAATCAATTTAATTGTAGAAGTATAGTCTTTTATCAACAAGCTGATGTTTGACGGCTTTGCCTATGCATTATAAGCGAGAATTCCATAAATAGAATACGTTGTATATTTTAGGCTACAATATCTCTTTTCATACAGCTACACTTTATATAAATGTAAAATTGTCATATAGGTGCTTTAAGTGTACTTTTAGTAATAATTATATACTAGTGCAAAAATTATCAAGATAGTACTGTAGTTATAAACTATAGTCTTTGAATGGATTTTCGTACTTCATTTTTTTTATTAAGTTGTAATTAGTAAACGCCTTCAACATAAATTATCTAACTTTGTAATCGTCAGATAATTTAACAATTTCGTTCTTTTCCAGACATTGCTGCAACCAATTTATCTTAACAACAACACACTCATCAAATCCATCCAGTAGTTCGTTTAAGTTGTCTTCATCATACTTATCAACAATCACATGACTTGTTGAATCCTCTAAACTTGAATGAATGTCGGCGTTTAAACGAATTAAGCGTTTCGTCAATTCGGATCGTCGTTTTTCGTCTATATTGTAAAAATATATGCAAAATTTACTCAGGTCAAGATTTGGTTTTCTCTTTTTATCTGCGGTGGCTCCATCGCCATCAGAGCTGGATTGTCGAATATATCTCTTTCTTCTCTTGAAATAATAAATCCAAGTTTCGACTCCTTTATTCGTGAGAATTTTCCGAATGATACGTTCAGCTCCATACCAGTTGAAGGATGGGGTTCCAAAACCAATACGAGGTAAGTGGACGCTACAGTTTAGACGCTGGGATCCCTGTTTGATCTTCTTTAGACAAAGTTCCAACGAGTCCATCTTTACCTGACGCTTTTTATCTTGACAAGCTACAAGGCCAACGTATAATTTCTTTCAAGCACATTAAACATTCTGGTATATTTATATTCTATATAATAATTAGTATTTATATTATTTTTAAGAATGTTTAATATGCTTTACGTTATTTAGTTTTATGATGTGAGTATCGCCTAAGAATAGATCCTTCATCCTCTCTGAGAATTCGTATTGTTCCCCTATACCTTTTGATAAAGTATCAAGTGCAGAGAAAACACCTCCACTTCCCCATTTCCCATTAATATCAACACATTGTACTATTATAGATCCTCTGTCAGACTTGCCCATTACCGGTTTTGTAACATCTCCTACCGTATAGTTAATTGTATTAAGGTCTTCTTCGAACTCTTCATCACTACTAGAGTCATCCAAAGTTTCAGATACAGATTGATAATTATTTTTCCTCCAAAGTTCTTCTAATCTTTGTTGTTGTCTTATTTTTCTTTCTTCTTTGGTTAACTTTTTCCTGATTGGTTTTATTTTTTCTAAATCATCGATTCCATATCTGAGAGCTCGTACAGAGTTACGCTTACTTAATTCTGCTTTTTCTTTATTTTGTTTATTAGAATCTTTAAGAAGTTCATCTAAAATAGCTCCATCTTTCGAATAATCGTATCCTTCGAAAACGTAGATAGATTCCTTTGTTTCTTCAGAATTTTCATCTTTCCTATTGTGTTTCCCTGATTCTTCATCCAAAATCCACCTAAATTAATTCCTAATATATACAAGACAATAAAAAGTGATTTAGCTATACCTTCCATCCTTGCTTTCGCCTAAAATTCCATCAAGTTCCTCATCGGTCATTCTATACAATTCATCATCCGAAAACAATTTATTTAATCCAAATTTCAAAACATCCCCAACGTCCTCATCACTTCCGCTTACTTCTTCAGTGAGTTTTAGTTTACGTTCCGCTCTAGCAAGCATCAATTCTTCAACCGTACTTTTTCCAATTAATCTAAATACTCGAACCGGACGAACTTGACCGATTCTGTGTACTCTCGCCATAGCCTGTGCATCATTTTGCGGGTTAAAGTCGGAATCAAATAAAACAACTGTGTCAGCCGAAATGAGATTCAAGCCCACTCCTCCTGCTTTGGTAGATAAAAGAAAAACAAACACATCGTCTTCTTCTTCAAAGTTTTTGATTGCTGCAAAACATAAATAATTGTTTAAAATCACACCAGCCGTCAAATAGATAATGCAAAAAAGAAAAACAACCGCAATATCGTTCCTCTCCTCTGATTGATCCATCTAGACGTTCGTACGAATAACCTCTAAAGCCAAGATAATCTTGCAATATATCCAAAACTCGAGTCATTTGTGAGAAAACGAGTACTTTATGACCCTCATTGTGTAATCTTTTCAAAAGTGCGTCAAGCAAAAAGAGTTTTCCACTTACATCCACAATATGTTCGCCTATTTCGAAAGGTTCCGGCTCAACTCCGTCGAATAGATAAGGATGAGCAACGACTTTTCTGAGTTGCATGAGAATATTCATTAAGTTCACTTTTGAGTTTGATTGAAAAGCTGTTGGATCTTTACGTAATATTCCTTTATATAATTTCTTCTGTGTTCCAGTTAAACCATGGTAAAGTACAGTTTCAAGTTTTGGAGGTATTCCTAGTGAAACTTCCCCTTTAGTTCTTCTTAACATAAATGGTTCCATAATATTCTTGAGTCTGCTTTTATCGTGTACGGCTTCAGCAACAAATTGTTCAGCAAAGTGCTGCCTAAATATCTTCGGATTGCAAAAAGATAAAAGGTTGTACAATTCGTTGAGATTATTCTGAATAGGTGTTCCAGTCAATAATAGACGGAAACAAGAAAAATTTAAAAGCATCTTATGTAAAAGCGATTCTTTGTTCTTTAGTCTATGAGCTTCATCAATTACCATAGCTCTAAACAACAGTTAGTTCATTAAAAATATCTGTGAAAGGTTTATATTATACTTTTTACTTACTGAAAGTTAATTCTTTGAAGAAATTCTTCCTCTTTCAAACATATTTCGTACGTTGAAAGTACAATACGATAATTTGAGGATTTAAAAGAGGATTTTAGTTCTTTTCTCTTCTCTTTGTCTCCAACGAAATAGAATATGCGGAAATTGCTTGGGCAAAACTTGCGAAGTTCTTTTTTCCAATTATCCAAAACAGATAGAGGACTTAAGATAAAATGTATGCCTTCAATTTGTTTCAGAAATCCAATTGTTTGACATGTTTTACCAAGACCCATCTCATCTGCCAAGATACAACCCTGTTTTCTTGAATAACATCTCCCTATCCAGTTTATTCCATTCACTTGATAATTTCGTAACGTAATACCTAAAAAAATTAAAACCTGCTCATATGCAAAATGTAATATCTTTCATCATAAATTTATGGTAATCACTATTTTTTCTAATAATTTTTCCTTGATAAATGTTGATATAAGGCTAAACAAGAATATGCAGGTTTCACTAACACTATTTATCGTTAATACCTGGTAGAAACTGCTCATTTATGGCTGTAATATTACTCGCGTCTAATTTTGTATTTTTAATTATGTCTTCCAACTGATCCATAGCAGTTTTGAAAAATAGCGTGAAATAATTAGCAAGAACTTCGAAATATAGCAAATTTCTCAATGGCGGGAAATGTCCATTAATTGGACATTGCGAAAATAATGAATGCATTTCGAAATGCGTAAATATCCGGTTAAAACCGCTAGAGGTTAGACTATTTTATTGAAAGAGTAATACATATATATCATAAATAAAATCTTATTTATTCATCCAACCAATTGGAAAGCTGCGACAAAATCTATCTATTTGTATATCAAACGTTTTCTCAGAAATAAGGGATAATTAATCATATTTAGCAATGAATAGTTACCGCATGTGCAATCTGACAAGAGATATTCTTAAACAACGAAAATCGCTGACAAATGCATTACTTCTTCGTTGTATGTCTAATCAACTTCAAAAAAGTTCCGAACAGCAATTATCAAATAGAATGCAAAAATTTAAAGAAGCTAATAAGACAGCTGCATATGGTACAGTAATCTTGGTAGGATTAGGTTTATTTGGAGCTATCGGTTATGTGCTTTTAAAAGAGTTATTCTCCTCTTCGAGCGTTCAACATTTGTTCAATGATGCTTTGGAAAAATGTCGAGAAAATTATGAAGTTCAGAGAGCTTTAGGTGATCCTATAATCGGGTATGGAGAGAGAGCCAGAAGAAGCGAGTTGCGAGGGGCAACCCATGTAGAATTTGAGAAAGATGGAGTAAAGCACTTCCAAATGGTTTTTTATATTAAAGGATCGAAAGCGACTGCAAAAGCTCGGCTCTATATGACAAAGGTACGTTCAACACCTTTTTTTAACAACCGCTTATTAATTATTTGTCCTAATAGTCAACCTCCGATCCATATTACGTCTGCCGTCTACTTATGGTAGAGCCTCAAACTTATGGAGCGTCTGCAATTGTTGTAGAAAGAAATGCTTAAATTTTCCTATCATTGTATTTTGACAGAAGAAAAACTTCACGCTCTGTTTTTTGAACTGTACAAACTGCTAACTTTTCTTTAAGTTTTGAGTAAAGAGAAAAGGGTTAGTAAAAAAAAGAAGTAAGCAAAAACTCCAGAAGTATATACATAAAAGAAAACAAAGTATATATTTTTTCCACACACAAAAACCCACACGTATATACCTACGTACACACTACATAAATACATATAAATATACTGTATATACATATATACATATATATCAATATATATTTATATACCATATACACGTACATATATACACGTATTATATCTACATACTGAAAGTACGTACATATATTTCCATAAATGTATATAGAAAAAATCCAATATGCATGCATGACCAAACTGTACAATTGTGCAACATCTTGAACACATCGAAATTTTGATTTTTTTCAAAACAATAGGAATAATTACTTATTATTTATTCAGTCTTTTTTCTTAATCTTTTTGACTGTCTAGTTGCTATTGATTCTTCAGCCGATCGCTTCGGTACTACTTTTACACTTTTTTTTGCGGCAAGAGAACCCCTGGTTAATCTATGGTCGTCGTCGTCGTCATCCTCTTTTTCCTTTCGTTTTCGTAAAGAACATCTTCTCTCTTCTTGTGGAGTAGAAGGTCTTTCCTTTAATTGCGGATTTGTTTGTATTGATTGACGAGTAGTTCGGCGGTCTTCTAAGCTACCTTCAGAACAGGCATCTTCTTCGTCCTCTTTCCTTTTCCTAGTCAAACACTTTCGATCATCTTGAGGGGTACTTGACCTTGGCATTAACACTTTAGCTAATCGTTTGTCATCTAAGCTCTCTTCCGAAAACACATCGTCATCGTCATCTCTTTTTCTCAAGCTCCTTTTGTCATCTGATCGACTTAATTGAGTAGGCGTCCCAGAATTTCGACCATCTTCCTCAAATTGTTCCTCTACGTTATCGTCTTTTTTATTTCTTGTTATTTTTCGATCTTCAAGAGGTGTTGAAGATCTCTGAGATGAGTTACGGGTAGAGCGACGTTCTTCCAAGCTACCCTCAGAACTACAACCTTCATCGTCATCATTCTTATTTTTCTTTAAGGGCCCTTTACGTTCGTCCGGCGGAGTCAAGGACCTTTGCAAATGCAACTTTGAAATGCGCTTGTCCTCCGAACTGGTTGAATTTCCTTCTGAACAATCGCTTACTTTTCTTTTCCTTGTTAATTCTAAAGACTTCAAAAGTTTAGTCTGTGGAGTACTCTCTCTCGAAGACGAACTATACTCTTTTGCTGCATAATCAATTGTTTCCAATCGTTCCAATCGCCGTGATCTTCTTACAACGGCTTCTTCATCCCTCTTATCATCTAGCAGATCTTCGCCCTCAGTTTTGATTAACTTCTTCTCAGAATGAATCTGACTAGGGGTGGTGGTTGTTGTTGTACTTGAAGTTATTGAACTAATCGGACCACTCTTTGATGTTGTAAATATAACTTTAGAAACATTTTTTAAAGCTGTGACTGATATAGTGTAAGGAACTGTTACAATCGTAACGTTTGTCAGATTTTGCACCACACTTTTTTGACCAGAGGTAACAGTCTTTATAAGTTGCCGTACGCTGTCAGGAACTTGTTCACTTCCCTCAACTATAGAATTTTGAGACACTCTAAGAACAACTGGCGAGTTCTTTTTGTCCTCCATTTCGGCAACTGCTTCTGGCCATTCCATTTTATGGAACACTTTCATATGACTCTTTAATGAACTTTCTCGTTCGAATTTAACATCTCGACATTTGTGACAAGTAAATTGTTCAACTTCCGCATCTTCTTCACCTTCTAAAGAATTCTTCTTTGTAGGCTGAATAGATGTTGAGACAAAAGCGGATCGGTGATCATTTTGAATATGTTGAGCCAAATTCATAAATGTATCATATTCCTTCATACAATGTCTACATTGTAATTTATTATATGGTCTACCAGCAATGTTAGCAGTAATGATATTAGCGTGCATATAAACTCTTTCAGCTACAGCTGTCTGACGCTCGTTTGGTCGAGGAACTTCGGAGCTACTCGATACACCAAGGGAAGCATTTACCGTATCAACAAGTGTTAGGTCATTATCTTCTTCTGTTCCAGATCTTTTAATGGGAGCTGTTGTTCTAACTAAATTGGATGTTAAAACAGCTGGAGATGGAGCCGATGGTCGTGGAGATGCCTGACTAGGAGTTGAACTTCTGGTGGATGAACTTCCTTCTACAACTTTGGCACGAGGAGATCTCGTTGGTGTTCCTGTACTTCTTGAACGGTTTCTTTTATTTCTTTGTAAAACATTCATTGATGTTGTAGTGGTTCCAACTGGTCCTCCTAAGAAAGAATGGATGAAAAATGTACACTTCATTTAGAAATTTCAACCTTACCTTCTGTTTGCTTCTTCTTCTCTTCATCAAGTTGCTTTCTTACATTAGCGACAATTCGGGCTACAATTGCATCCTGGCAAGGTCGGCATTTGTCACCAGCATCTATCCGATGACATTCACAATTCATGGGTCTTTCTTCTTCTCTTAATTGCATGGTTGCCTCAGGCATTGGAAAATATTGTTGACTTCCACTTCCGGGACGCGACTTTCTTCGACTACCAGATGAGCAAGGGACTTTCCTCGCTCCCGGTGATTTTTGCGTCGGGCTGAGCGTTTGCAGTAACAGTTTCGAAGTGTCAACAGGAACCGATGATAAACTTGAAGGTATTGTTACATTTACAGACAAAGGGGTTACTACTTTAGGCGAGACATGTATTGCTGTGACAGTTTGGTTTTGAACATTCGTCATTTTGTTTGTCACGGTATTCAAGGTTGCTTGTTGTTGGTATCCTTCACTCTTTGGTTGAGCTTCTACCTTTTCGGGTATGGTCTTTATATGATGAACTTGAGCATTTTTTAATACTGGCTCTTGCACTTGTTGTGGTATTTCAGGTTCGTCTTCCTCCTCAATTATCTCTCCTTCAATTTCTTGTTCTTGCTCTGGTTCTTCTTCGTCTTCTTCATCTCCCATTACTTCTCCTCCACCGCCTATACTTTCTACTTCCTCTTCGCATTCTTCCTTTTGCTTTTCTTCACTTCTTCCCAAAGTCAAAACTTGCATGAGTAAGGGATTCTGTTCCGGTAGGCTATGACGCTTTTGCTGAACAACTGATGGCACAACTTTATCCTTTTCTTCATAAGATTGGCTTCGCTGCAGTAGATTTGCAGTTTCTGGCATTTTATCAGCAGCTGATTGATGATGCACCTTGGCGGCAGCCTTTGCTAGTTCATTAAGGCCTGTTGAATATTGCTGGGCGGTTTGTGGATCTTGTTGTGTAGTCGGCGTCGCAACTACAGAAAGACGTACGGCTGATGACGCAATATCTGCTAATGCTATTAATTCATTAGTTTCTTCAACTTTTCGAGTTTCAGATTGAGTTTCTCGAACAACTTCACTATAAGGAGGAGGTTTGTACTCATCATCTTGCAAAAAACTCAGCCAGCTGCTTTGTTGATGAGGGTGAGAGTTCATCCAGGACTCATCTTCGTCTTCTATGGTTTCCGTTACAACTTTTTCTTCTATGGTTTTTTTCCTCTTTTTATCTGGCTCACCAGACCATTTGGATTTCCATTTTTCGATAATCCTTTTTCCTTCATCTTCCATCATTTTGCGTTTTTCTTCTTCATTAAACCGTTTGTACTTTTCTCTCCTCTCTATGCTCATACGCTTTGCTAAATCCCGATCGACACCATGCTTAGCAATACGATGAGTAATATAGTTAGCAGATTTGGTATATAGCATACTACATTCTTCACAGACGTAGAAAAATTCAGGTACAACGTCTGCTGGTTTTAATTGGATAGTTCGACATTTATCGCAGTTAAGTTGATGTCTTCGACAATCCATCATAGCATTATAACATTTTTTACAAAACAGGCACTCATACACTGCAACCGAAGTAGAATCCGCATCTTCTGTACATCTGAAAAGGAAGGAAATAATCAAAATATTTTATCCAATAAATATCTGTTAGCAGGTTTAATTCCCCACCATCTGTAAGTTATGATCATTAACTAACCTTTTCTCTTTATGCACTTTCCATCTTTTTTGCGAGGCAAACATAGTGTTACAACCAGTACATTCAACGACGTATTGACTAACAATGGGTTCGCCGTGTAGCAATTTAACCTTTCTTTTATTATTTTCACCAACGTAACTATTTCCCTCTCTTGCTAATCTTTCTTCATTAGCTTCAGCGTCCGACAGATGGCGCGATTGATAAGTCCCTGAGGATGAAACAGGAGTCGTGTGAGACATGCGTCCCAAAACGTGTTGACTGATTGTTTGTTTAACAAATTCCCGGAAACAATTCCAATCCTGACTTTGCTTTTCTTTCACCTAAACAAACAAGAAATAATAATTTAGCGACATCTAGCGACAAATCTTGAAGAGTTATTTTTAGAACTGGTAATATGATACGAGCGGCTTCTTGCGAAGCGGCTTTTCTTAAACTTTTGATTACTCAAACTCGCTTGATAAAGTGTTTAGTCGAGAGCTGCAATATAAGAGGATATTTACCTCAGAAAACGGTTGAGGATGGGCTAAATAGGGTGGATCCGCGGGTTCTGGTAACACGTCTAAACTTGAGCCTGATGCAGGATCAAATCCCCATCCTAGCATTGTGCCCAAGCTGGGTAATTGGGCGGTCATTGCCATTTGCTGCTGATTTTTCTTGACACCCTGGCTTAGGTCAGGCGGAGGACTAATGACATTTGATGGCAGGAGGCAGTCATTATAAGGCGTTGGTTCTTCTTTGTTGACTGGGCTCATAAGGTTTTCGTTTCCATAAACAATATTAGCTGGAGTTGCAAGTGCACTCCCGGGAGGTGATTCGATAGCGTTGGATGATGGAGACGAAACTGGTTGTTGAGGGTCAGTGTTAGGTAGATCTCCTTGACGTTGATGCCAATTCATGTGAGCTTGAAGACTGGGCCATGTGTAAAAAACCCTCCCACAATCAGCAAGAGAACAACGCTTTTCCATTAAGTTTGGTTCCAAGTCGTGAGGTTGCACCTGAAATCAAAATGACGACTCAGTAAATTAAGTATAGGAAAATACAAACGTCAAAAGCGGTATTTTAAAATTATTAAAACGTACCTTGCATTGCCTGACATGTTTCGGAACCGAATTGGCATTATTAATCACCGTTTCACAAAATGGACAGAAATATATAAACTTCCGTTTCAACTTTCCCTGTTTAGAACCGGGGCTAGCGCAAATAGTAGCATGATTATGTGCCGTTTGAGAGTCGACAAATTGAGAGGAGCATACTTCGCAAGTAATTTTTGAACCTTTATATGCAGGTTCATCTTTAACTGTGATTAGAGTTCTTGTCATACCAGGAAAATCCTTATGCTGATCAACATGTACTTCATCCTTGCCCTTATTTAATTGAATGAGAGATGGCTTCGAGCTAGGCCTTCGTGGTCTAGGTCTACTTTTAGATGGTGGTGTTTCATTAGCTGTAGAAGTTGTAGACGTTGACCTGGGTGATAATATTGCTGTAGAATTTGTAGAGTGAGATCTGACGTTAATAACTGCTGGTTGTTGGTTAACATCTGCTTCTTCGGCCTCCTTTGCTAACAAGTTCATTAAACCCTCTCCAAAGAAATCTCCTGCAACCGCTTCTCCCGTTGAGTCAGCATGTTCGACTTCTAAATGAGTTCTCTTCTCTTCTTCATCTCTACAACTTTTTCCGCATAATTCACAAATATTTTTTGGCTTCGTAGGCCCTTCTGCGCAAATCATTTCGTGGCGTAGACATGCTGAGTTAGACTCAAATCGCTGAAAACAGAATTTACACTTTAGCCTTTCCTTTTCTTCTAGCTCTTCCTCAGACGGCAAATCTCCTCCATCGTCCTCAGAGACTGGGCTGACAGGTTTTTCATTATTATTCTCATTACTTTCTGGAGAAGTCTTTCCCGGAACTTCCGCATTGTGTACCAATTTTATGTGGCGATTTAATGAACCTTTTGTTGATAATAGTTTATGGCAGATTGGGCATTGATGACCAAAGTCAGTTCGCTTGGCGACATTGTTAGTAGCATTTCTCTTGGGGCAAGACCACTCTTCGTGCCGCCTACGATCACGCATTGTTAAAAATTCTTTTTGGCAGTAACGGCACTGGAATTGCATGAGTCGATCGTTTGAAGGAGTAGTTGTAGGGGGAGGCTCGTTAGCAACGTCCATAATGTCTAATATTGGCAGGATATCATCTTCATGGTCCAAGTATTCCTTTATTTCTTGATCATCAATAAGGGGCCAGTCGGATTGATCTAGATCGTCTTCCGTATTAGATACTGCCTCTTCACCAACAGCACTACCACCACTATTCCCTCCATGTACATTGCGCATATGTCGTTTTAAATGCCATGGTGAATTGAAAGTTCTCTGACAATGAGTACATACTGCGTTCTTTTGTTCATTTCCGCTACCAGGTTCCTTCTTTGGAGATTCGTTAGCTGCAATTGGTCGACCACAGAATTTGACGCCTCTCCAAACTTTACCCCTAAGTTGGGGTACATTACCGTCATGTCGTATTCTATCCCTGACTTGTTGTTCGAGTTTAGTGAATGAGTCTGATTTTTTATTATATTTAAGGCCTATCTCTTCTAAGTAGTGTAAACATTGGGCATCTAAAGCCTTCCAACCACCATTGACGCCAGACTTTGGGGCAAAAGCAGACGGTCGAAGACTTACCACCACATCTAAGACTTCTTCGAAAGATGTCTTCTCCATGTTATCATTTTTATCCACCACAGCTTGCTCTACAATCTCTTCTCCTTTTTCCTGATAAGATAAAAAATGAAAAAAGTAGATAAATAATATACACAAAAGATATATATTTTTAGTTAAATAAATACCTGAATACAACGTAAAATTTCTTTATATGTGTCATCTCTTGGATCCAGGTATAAAGCTGTCAATAAGCAGTTAAACGACATACGGACGTCGGATGATTGATAAAGGCGAGCCAACTGACGACATGTTTGAGCTAGGTTGTCAGCGGCAATTGCAGGATCATCTCCTGATACTGGTTGAGAAGAGACGACAGATGAATTGTGAGATGGGCGTCGGCTATTTAGTTCGTTGCGGTCGTTTTTGAGCGCTTGTAATTCGACGTCGGTGCAAAAGTCGATAAATTCGTCCTCATACTGCGATGTTAGAATGAAATATTGTCAGATATTTATAAGTAAGGATTTGAGAAAGAAAAATTCTAAAGACTTACTAAATTATGCAGAACGTCGCAGAGTAAATTAAGCTGTTTCGTATTGCGAAAAGTATGAGCGACTTTAGATACTTCATGCAGAAATGTCTCGACATCAGATGCTTTTCTCTGTACCAAAATCCACATGCGAAGTAATTCAGCCGTGCAACAATAATTAGCTGGTTTAGTCCAATCCTGTAGTAGAAAAGTTCGAGCCATATCGGCACAAGCTTGTTCCGCTTCGCCGCTCCGCTCCATTAAGTTGGCTATAATTTTCGCACCGACGCAGCAAGATAATTCATAACACTGACTATAGAAATCCTGCATCTTTCCAAGTCGATGGAGCAAAAGTAACTGTGTTAACCTAACTGTGACATCCGTTGCAAAAACTGGACTTCTAGCACACCATTTACAAAGATTTAGAGCCTGAGGCTCACAACCGCTTTCTATAAGCAATTCAATTCGTAATTTAAATAATTCGGGATATTCGCCCATCTTCAAATAAGTCAAGGCTCTCTCCTCGTCAAAATCCTCTCCTTGCATCATACCTACTAGCGTCGGATGCGTCCAATAATTGACCATCAACCACTGTGGTTAGGGTAAAGAGAAAAAAGAAGACGTTAAATTAACTTCGTTTCTCAAAGCTATCTGGCGAGCTGACAAAAAAGAAGAAAACTAGGTCGCGGGAACGTTAGAGACGTAGCTAACATACACAGCTGTTACTGATAAGACGCGCAAAAAAGGGCGGTTGGCGTATCGAATTTCACCGAGAGGGAAAAGAAGTCTGTAAGTTAGATTATACTGTCTCTATATATAGAAACATAAGTATTAAAAAAGATATTAACAGGAATAAGAGAAACGGCGGGCTAATTAAAAAGGAGAAAGGAAATGATAAAGACTGGTTAAGACATATAATCCATTCTGCAGCAAAGACGTTCGCTGTATACGGCGGATTAGCGTATAGGCGGCGGTCTCTCACAGAGAAACGTGATTACATAAAAAAGAAAAACAAGGCAAAGCAGACAAGAAGGCGATTAGCAGAATTTTAGCTATCTCGAATGAACTCGAAACAGTCTCAACTAACCTGTAAAACTAGGAAATCGTGAGCGCATTTTAATTTGGCAGTCGTCAATTCTGAATAGGCGTTAACTATGCTCGACTTGAAGCTCCTTCGTGGCTCTTCCGATTCGTTTAGCTTGTGAAATTCAATACCTAATACTAGTCGGGCGATTTCGCTGCAGGAGAAAAACAAGAAAAAATTACCACTACACCAAATAATTAAATCACCTTTAATATTTAGACTGTCTGTCTGTACAGTATTTAATTATAAAATGAATCCATATCTATATATACATATATATATATATATATAGCATATTGTCCTTATACAAATATGTATATATAAATATATATAGTATTTATTTATACAAACTAAATACATTGTATATTTAAAAAATATCTTACATAAAAATATATTTTCCCAAATCATCCAATTCCGTTCGATTCGGATAGGTTTTTCGGAATTTTGTGAAAGTTTCGACGGCATTTTGAAAGGCGATTAGACGATATTCGAACGCTAATTCAGTATTGGCGATGAAATCTCGGGTAAACTGTTTAAAAAAAAACGCAATTACATTAAATTAACGATGCCGGCTTAAGCCATTAAAGTAATTTTCGAGTTAATTTTCGAACAGCACGGTAATAACTTTTTAAAAAACAATTTCCACAAGAATCTTAACGAATTTTTCCTCTTCTCATAATAAAAAAACAATATCAATTCTCAGAAAATTGCTAGAGTATTTTTCTATTATATAGGTCACTACTAGAATTTGTCATTGATTCGAATTTTCGAGCAATATCAATGAAAAGATTATAAAACAGAAATTCTCTTTATATCTTTTTTTCTCCGATCGAGTATAAATAAAAACGTTACGCGAATTCCTGACAGATGATAATTTGAAGATGGCATTTACAGAACAAATCTGGCCATCGGACGCCGTTACACAATACACTTTATACCCATCTCCGCAAAATCCTTTATTAATTACTTTTAAAATATTAAATAACATATAAATTGAGAAAACAATGAAGAGCCTATATTGTCAACAATATAAAAGAATTATCTTGAGAACGAAAGCATATATTTGATAGTATGACCGAAATAATACGATAAACGGGAACTAAACACGATATACCGGTTAAATTTCAAAGAAAATAAATTTTTAAAAATTAAGGCGAAAGGCGAACAATGTCTAAATAAGGTCAACGAAGGCCGATTAGCGATATTTACATTATTTGTCGCCCTATGCTTAAATCAATTTCTAATACATCTCTATTATCCTTCGAAAAAAAGTAAGTGAGGAAATTCGTGAAAAAATTGAGTGGAATAAAGCTTTCGCCTAGTCGCCATTTGCATTTTTCGGCCGCGCGCAATCTAGCCTGGAAAAAAGACGGATTTTCGTCGATTTTCCGCCATTTTTACCTTCTTGAATTCGCCGCAAACGGTAGCTAGGTTATCATCAATATTCGGAGAACGTAATAATCTATGGATTTCACGAGTATAATCCTCTAAATTCATGTTTTTCTAAAAAAATCCACTGTGTCTTCACTACTACATTCTTTCTAGCATTCAAATTAGGTCACGGCGCTGGCGTCCTCGTGCGGCTATTGCACGAACAACAATTATAAATAGTATCACTAGCGACATCTTTGGGATAAGTCGGTAGTTAACATATTGTTTATTATGAAATATTAGTTAATCATTTGATACACATGATAACTCAAGCCTATATGATTCAGTTCTGCATTACATCAGTATTCATAATAAAAAATGTTTTAACACAAAATACAAAAAAAAAGTTACTCATTGCTCTCCCTTAATAAAAAAAATCATGTAATAAATCAAAATCTTTGAATTTGTTTAATGATGTTGTGAGAATTATAACCAAAACGGATAATATTATCAATTTAAAGATATTTACCAATACTATTCGCCTACCATATCAATAGAGTTGTGGAACATACACAATAAATTCAATATTTTGTTAATGTACTATTATCTATAAATAATTTTAGTATAAATAGTCATAGATTAAGATTTTTGCTGAATACAATATCTAAGAATTCGCCTAAGTAACTAGGTATATATATATATGCATATAAAAATGCAGGTCATTGCTATATGATATTTAGAGGAATGGGGAGGAAAATCAAGAGAAAAATTTACTCTGTAAACCTACAGTAAACATATATGTACATATATTAGTACACTTACATATATATATATATATATTAGTATATACTGCATATATATGTTTATATAAAGGAAATTTATACATATACTGTATATATATATATATATATATATATAATGTTCTCTACTGACTTTACAACAACCGAACGCTGGAGATGCATGACGTCATTGTACTGCAAAATAAATTCATTAAAGAGATAAAAATAAAGAAAGCGTACGGCCAACTGGAAACAACTCGTATACCATAGTAGCTGAAACTAAGCCTAACCTATTATAACATACTAATAACATATTAGAAAAATTCGAGCTTTAATAGCACCACCTAGTGTCAAGACGCGTCGCTTCGATTTTCACACAGGCAACATGACCATTGATTTTCGTACCGTAGATAGAACATATTTTTATTGATTGAACAGACTGGTACCATTGGTACCGGAGACTGGTAGTAGCAAAACAAACTGAACTGTTTAGAGGATAAATGAGAAAAAAGAGATCAGAAGATTCTTCAGCTATTTTTTTTTTTACATATAACACCTGTCAATTGGTATAGCTGCAGGTCCCTTTTTTCACGCACCAAAATCAATAGGCAATCGCTTGAAAAAATATATAGCAACAGATAGCTTTCTAATTTGATAATCAATAAGACACAAAGGAATTATTTTTCTTTCCTTAATCCATCGTTTCTACTACTCACCTAAACATCCTGTTGAACTTTGGCTGTAGTATCCAATGTAGATTTACAAATAGTTATATCCATTGAATTTATCAAAGTGGTAAATTTCAAATATAAAAGAAAATCGACTCTTGTGTTCCATACTCCGAATTTTTGAATATGAGAGAAAGAAAGATTATAAAAGCAGCAAACTGCACACAGGGAAAGCATATGTGTGAGCAGAGTGCACCAGAACAGTGTAATACAGGCCTCGGCGCCGCTGACTGTAGCTCTGCATCTAAGGATCGATCAGTATGATCTTTTCTACACTATACAGCTATACTATATAGGTGTACCCCTGATTAGAATTCAATACGCTTCTGTCACATGACTATATTTTTGCGCGCTTTTTTCAATCAATAAACTCTCTTATCAAATTGAGTTAAGAAATGTCACTTGTAAATATTTTTTTAATATGTTTAATTATTTATCATATTATTATTACTGGAATTTTTTTCACTTTCAACCTTAACTGACTATTTTCCATGGTTATATTTTTTTTTTAAATCATAATTGTTTGTTTTACCTTTTTCTTTTTTATGCATAAACTTTCGATTGTGGAAAAATAGATTTAGTTCGTCTCACCACTGTAATTCAGTGTTTTTTTGGTTTGGTAAAATATTTATTCTTTTCATTTCGTTTCCCGCCCTACCTCCTCCTTACTCTTCCCATATTCTTTATCATCTTCATCTTTTTAGTTTGAAGATCCAATAACTTGTTATTCTATTAGTTGAAGAAGAAAGAGCAAAGTTTAGACAATACCTTTAGATTGTTAGATAGACATGAATATCCGCTTTAAAAGGATATTTGAGATGAAATATAGGACGTTTTAAAAAATCTGTATTGTACATAGACTGTACGAATAGGATTTATGAAACAGGTTAAAAAATATGAAACAATATTGAAATAATATTTAGCTTTCATGTTTTGCCAATAACATTCATATATTACTACAAACATTTTAAACTAATCAAGTTATATACGCATACAAAATATCCAGGTATATCAGAATTTATAATCCACTTTACATTACATCATTCAAAATGTTTATCCCCCAGGCAAACCATTCAGTTTATATTACTTTTTCATTTGTGTTACATGTTGGCTAGGTAATTACGTAATAAGGTTTGCGGTAGCATCTGTGATATTCTAAGGAATCTATCAGAAATAAATTGAAATTGTAATTCGGAGTATTAAAAGGAGATTTATGTCTTTTTATCATTATTCCCACCCTCTACTTCAAAATTTGGTTGATAAACTATAAAAGAGTTAAGAATTTGGAAAATTTTATTAAAGCCTGTAAGGTTTATTCCAAAAACAAAATGAAAAAATCAAGAAAATGAAATAATTAACAAATATTTCTTTTTTTTTTTACCAAAAACAAAAAAAAAACTATTTTCAGGAATTTATTAATAAATTAAGAAGAATGTAAATCATTCGGAAAATGGCAAAATTGATTGAAAATATTCATAGAAGAATTTTATTGATTATTTCAATTCTTATCATCGTCAATTTACTGTAGATGTCGACACTTTAAATGTATGAGGAATTTGTGGGGACTAAGCTATGTCAATACTATTTTTTCTATTTTTATATACATCGATTCTATATATAAATGCATATCGGAACGGTGATTAAATAGGTAAGTCTGTTATCCAAAAAAAATAACACAATATTTTCTAATCAATAATCTGAATAGAATAGTTGGCATTTTTTCTTAATTACTAGACAAAAACATTGTCTATTGTTGTTACTTTTATGGTTCTATCAATTAATAAATTGATTATGAGATCCTACCAAGGCAGTTATCTACTGTCTTTAATTCGACTTATACTTAGAGTAAATGATTAATAAGTCATTAATTATTGTATTTTCTGTTGTGTAATTCTTTTTAAATAACAGAGTAAATGTTGGGAATAAACAAAAATCGTATATGCTAACATTATATAATGGTTGTCAATATAATCTCTAGGCCTAAATTATTTTATATTTCGATCGAGAAATAGAGGAAAAGCACATGAGTGAGTGAATGTAAGAATAGAAAAACTAGAGAAAAAACACCATATGGAACAAAAAAAAATATGAGAAAAAAATGATGTAATTTCATTTACTGTGTGAAAAAATGTTAATTTAAACAGTTTATGGTTGTTATTCAAGCTTTTTCAGAGTTTTGTTTTTCTATATACTAAATTTAGTTCTCTCAGAATAAATAGTGTCATAAATATACTTTATGCTCTATCGGAAACAGTTTTCCATTTAATATATATCATATATGGGAAAAATAACTACAGATAATTAATATACTCTATGTTAGAATTGAATGGATTACCTTAAAAAGCATATTTATTACAAGAAAGTCAATACAGAAAAATGTTGCAATAAAGTAAGCATTCTCTATAGTGTTTGTTTTGGCAAACTAGGCGTAAGGGAAGTGGAAGAGATGAATGTAAAAGATATATTTATCCATAATAGAGTTTTAGTAGGGTAGTAGACAAAAATTGATGATGAGTTGTAAATAGTATCATTAGATAGTATAGAATACAAGAAGATACAAGAGATTAGCTAAATTATCGTTCGACTTGTAAGGAGATGATAAAAGAAGTAGGATTTCTCGGAGGTTGTCGACTTTTTATAGTACAAACGAAACCTACATCCCTTTCTTCCCCTTTGCAAACAGGAAAGCTTGGAAAAAATTCCAGTTGAGAGCTCGATACACTAAAGTTCATCTAACTTGAAGATATAACTTAAGGTATTGAGAAGCGTAGCTATATCATGTTTGTTTCAAGTTTAATTATAGAGGATGCACCATCTGATTAGACCAGAACGAACTTGTGAATTATTAAGTGTATTAATCCATAAACGTTCCGTCCAGTTTCTTCAACTTCAATTAGGGCTAAATAGTATATCAAGTATCGGAAAGTGTATAAGAGAGTCAATAATAAGGAAATATTTAAGACCCTTTCGAAAAGTTGTTCATATATGTTGAAGGAGTCCTTCACTCGTCTAAAAATGGAGACTTTATACGACAACTCTTAATTAACGAATTCTCCAACCCCAATTGGCATACATTCCGAAGTAATTTAGACATATTGTACGAAGGGATATTTAAAAGAATATAAAACATATAAAGAGGAAGGAGCGATGTGTAACTCTTTCTCTTTTTTACCATATACAAGCAAAGATGAAAAATCAAACTGACAAATTATATGCTACAAGGGAAAATTAGAAGAATAATCTGAATCTTTACAAGTAACTATAAAGTATGCAAAAAACTATTAATCTGAATAGAAAAAATAGAAATCTTGCACTTTTCATTTGTAAAATGTCTAAATTTTAGCCTAAAATAAGATTTTATTCAATGCTAAATCAACCAGATAGTTAATCATGTGACTACTTTTTCTCTCAGTGCACCGTTATTTTCGTATTCAAAATGGCGGCGTGAATAATTCGACGACGTACAGCTCATGAATCTTCCTTTCAAAAATGGATAAAACAAAGTGAAACCGCCCAGTTTTTGGATTAACGCTAATCTTTTATATTGAACCGAACTGATTAGGTGGTCGTGGATATATTTAGTTAATCATGACATCGACGGATAAAGTTAAAGTTGCCGTTCGCGTAAGACCTTTTAATAGAAGAGGTAAGTGTCGTCTGCTAGAATATTATTTTGTTCGCTTCTCAGAAGTAGAATTAAAAATATCCATTTGTAATAACTTTTTAATAAAATCACATTGCTGTAGATAATAATAATGTAAAAAATAAATATCCGAATTGGCTTATAATACTTTTTTAAAACTAGCATTTTGTAATTAGCATAAAATCATGCAATATTCCATTTTTTCCTTTAGAAAATGAACTTGGAACGAAATGCGTGGTTGATATGGAACTTAGACAAACTCTCCTTTATCATCCTTCAGCTTGTAAGATTAAAGAAAGGTAATTTCAAACATTGAAAACGCAATTAGATTCTTTTTAAGGAAAAGGTTGTTAGTGTCAAAAAACGATCTATTGAAATGATTAACAACTTAAAGCAGATACAAAAGCCTTAAAGTCTTTGAGCTTTTGTATAAAATACAAGGCCTGAACTCAGTTTACCTTCTGCAGATAAAGATCCGTAAAATAAATATACAAAAATGTTAGTAAACATATACGAGCTTTCCAAATATTTTCTTTTTCATCCTTTCCTCAAAAATTGATACATCTTGACAGTCTGACCACGTGATCGATATTTCTATAAAATTTTTCATTTCATTCTTTTTTGTTGCTTTTCATCAAAGGGGATTCTAGTCAGTTTTATGGATTTTCAGTCGATTCGTTACGTTTATTGGGCTAGTAAATATAGAAACTACCTTTACGTGTCTCTTACTCGGCAATTTTCCTTTTAAGTTACTCGCCTTTGTTTAGAACGAGCATAGGCTTTGGAAAAGAGGAAAGTGACACCTGTTTACGTTCTTGTTCCATTTGTGAGAAGTATTGTACGTTAGCGAAGACTTTCGTAAAGAATAGACAAAAAATTCTACTCACGGAGATTCTGACACGTTTTGACAAACTATCGCCGTCATCTTTCAGCATAATCAATAATGCTTGCTCAATAACATGTGTCGTCTTCATTTCCCTACTTTCGACGCCCCTTTTCGATTAACCCTAATGATCTATGGCAAAGTTTCTTATATTTAGAACATCAGTCAGTAAAAAAGGAGACGGGCACTGTAATACCCTCAATACTTAACTTAATAAGCGACTGTGACAGAATGTAGTTATTTCGACGAACGTCGCTATGGAGACGCCTTTTCTCTATTTTTTCGGTTTAGTTTTGACAATTAGAGTTTATCTGATATCTTTCCTAAGTAAGCAATGCAACATTCTGCAGTTCATAAGGCCAAAATCTAAATGTACATTCTTTAATTAAAATCATAACATACTAATTAAAAATATATTTTTCATGGAATGACTGACAACGCTAAAGAGCATAGGAAAACTAATATTTTCTTTTTTTTCATATTAAATTTTCTTTCTATTATCATCTAGAGCAGGTGCGCACTGATGTCTTGAGCTATAAATCAGAATAGAAGCTAGAGAAATATTTGTAGCATATCTATATATACATACAAACTTAAATAGTAAATACATATATATATACTATATATATATAATCAAATTCATTTTCCCGACTCAAATCACATCAATACATTCATAATTATATTCCGTATTTATTGCCCATACATCCTATTATATTTATATAAACAATAAAAATATGTATATAGAATATTTATATGTATGCTTATCGTAATATCAAGTGTACTCAGATTCTGAAAATTTGTGTAAATGGCTTTAGGCCTTAATTCTTTGGATAGACGTTTAAATGGGGCTACATAACGGTCTATACAATATCTTAAGATATTGATTTCTAAAAAGTAATCTCTAAGCCACTTTTGCTGTTCTTGATCAGCCCATTGTCTATAACAACGTATTTAATTATTTTAGTTGTTACACACAGTATTTTAAATTTATTTAATTATTTAATAAGACATTTTCAAGGATTTCTGATATATTACCCCGGATTGATTAAGTTTGCAGGAGCGTCGTCGGTTGTTCTTTTTAAAGCCAGACGCCTTTATTGATTAGTTTTTATTAGCTATGTTAGCCTGATTGATTTCAATTTAATTGTACTGTTGCGTGTTCTTAAATATCATATTTTTATTTTGCACATTTTTGGAAATAAACCCTGAAGCTCTACTCCTCAAGCAACACTTATTTGAGGGAGAGAGTAGCAGACATTTACACGGATGGCTTAAATAAATAACTCTTGAATTATTCTTCTTTTCTTAAGGCTTCATGTACGGATTTATCAATGAAAATAATGTATTTCCAATTTTTTGTTCGTTCTACTTAAGAAAATTTCCTGTCAACTTAATGCCGATTAGGTCCATCTAATCGGTCACTGCGGCATCACAGAGCGTCTACTGCAAAGTTATCGACTTTTTTTCATGGCCTTGACATTACAAATATTTTATCCAGTCCTTACGTTAGTGTACCCATCGCGTTATTGTTAGCAGCAAGGTTATCTTAAATGATTAAGTAGATAGCACATAATAAAAAAGAAGTTAGGGATAAAGTTGCCTTCAGTTTAATCTACCGATAAATTCTTATCCAATTTATGTCTCGAATAGGGAATATGTCAGTGCTGAAGACCGTTTTCTTACGGTTGTATGACGAGTATACAGTTATATTATATTTACTGTCTCTCTTAAGAATGAAAATCTGTGAAAACGAGGTTGTTTGTTCCATTTAGTTAAGAAAGCTAAACAAAATCTCTGTACAAACATCTGTTTGTTGACAAACCTAATTAGGGGATTGCAGTAAGGTTAAAGCTGGTTTGTCTAACGAATTCGACCTTTTACTGAAGAAAATTGATGTAATTTACGGATTTTAAAGCCTATTTGAGTTCTTCTTCTCTTCTCTAAAATTCGTCCATAGAATAATTTCGGATATGTTGATTTTATTTAAGCTTCAAAAATGACGAGAATGCCCAAGTTAGGAAATAATGATTGATTTTTCTATAGTTCTTGCGTTGTAAGAGTTGTGTCAAGTCGTAGGATTATCTGATTTATAAAACCAGATAAAGATATTAACGATACTTTACATTGTAACTTAAAAATGTTAGTATGGCGATTGATGATTGCAAAGTGGTATATCGTTTCAAGTCTGAATGTAGATGAAATACAAAAAAATCATTGAGCATCAGCTTATTTGCTGAAGAAAATACAATTTTGTTCGCATTTTTTATTATTCGCAATATCTATTATATAGTTGATACATTACGTGACTATTATTCCTCTACCCTCCTTAACGAACAAAGATATGGTTATTTGAAAATTGCAAGAGAGGAAAAGTGATCTAGGATGTAAAATGTCTTATGTGATTCAATAACTTAACTGACAAGGTTCCGGTGATCATAGTACGTCCAAAGTAGAGTAGAGCCCACTATCATTAATTAGAATTCTTTCGTAGGAAATTTAGTTCCTGTAGCGAAACTAGAATAGCAACTATAATGCATTTGTTGGCTTACTTGTCAGACAAGAAGTTCACTTTGTGTTTTTATACATTCCCTACAGCAATGAAGTATCTACACCTAATAGTGGCGGTAAAAAGGCCCCTAAAACGTTTGCATTTGATCATTGTTTCTGGTCAATGGACCCGAAGAATCCTGGTAAGATCTATCACAATCTCTTCAATTTAAAATTTGGGCGGAAAACGCCTCCGGATATCACTTTTATCCTCTTAATTTTAAATTGGTTTTATTGACTATATTAATTCTCTGTTTATTGTTACTTTTTAGATAAATTCGCTAGCCAGATGAAAGTATATGACGAGTTAGGGTCGGATATACTAGAAAGGGCATTTGAGGGATATAATGCTTGTATATTTGCCTACGGTCAAACCGGTTTGTTTCCATCTAAATATCTTTGTATCTTTAATACACATTATTTCTTTCTTCCGCTTCCAGGATCGGGTAAAAGCTATACGATGATGGGAACGATGCAAGATAAGGGTCTAATTCCAAGATTATGCGATCAGTTGTTCGTTCGCGTTGTAAGTGAAGCCAATGATGTTGAAACTGAATACAAAACTGAAGTCTCTTATATGGAGATTTATTGTGAAAAAGTCAGAGATCTCTTGGATCCGAAAGGGTAAAGATTTAATCACTTAAAAATGTGCAAATATGATACAGTCTCATGTAGGAAAAAGGCCAGGTTTTCTTTCTCTTTGTGAAAAATAAAACCGGCTCTGAATTGGTAGTTAATGACAATTTATATAACTTTAGTACTTTACGTCAAAGACCCCGTCGAAAAGATGTAGTTTGATGATATGTCAAAACCTTATGACCCTTTTATGCTTTATGAAAATTAATATTGTATGTGTTAATATACCACAGAAAACATAATCTTAAGGTTAGGGAGCATAACATACTTGGGCCCTACGTTGATGGATTATCGACTCTTGCAGTTTCAAGCTTTGATGTAAGTTTTTTTTGAACTGTGTAACCTTCTTACTATATTAATTATAACAACGTAACGCTTTCCTTTAACTTACTACATTATTATTTCGCTGGTTTTTTGAAACTGTTAAAAAAAACACTTTTTTCTTCGATAATATTACTGTAAGAGAAATAATATCGAATAATTTTCTTCCTACTATTATTCTTATCGACTTCATTAGTTTACGCGACTGTTCGTAGCACGATTTATCCCGTATTTACCCGATGCTACTTTTAAGTGAATTTTATTTTTAGACACAATATCGAATTTTTGTTTTATCTTTCATATGGGTAATTGTAGTAATCCTAAAAAAAATATAGTGTTCCTTTTTAAAATTTTTTCATTACCTTATGTTCAGTCGTTAATAGAACATTTTCAACATTTGACAGCTTTATAATAGTCATTTAAAAAATTTACAATTAATTTCCAATTTATACAAAACTAGCTTGTAATCTAGCAAATATACGAACTCTCCAACTGGCTTCAAACGCTTTTTTCTTCAAACAAATGTTTATCAAACAAATATAATTTCAGAAAAAAATCAATTTAATAAGAGTAATTAGAATTAACTTTCTCATTGTATTTCTCTTGCAACAGGATGTTGACAAATTGATGATGGAAGGCAATAAATCACGAACAGTGGCTGCAACAAATATGAATAGCGAAAGCTCAAGGTCGCATGCAGTTTTTACTATTACCTTAACTCAGACATTGACGGATAAAGAAACAGGGGTAAGTACCTTGCGGAAAAATTTGCGCATTCAACTTCCCCGAGAGTTCCCATGGATACATAACGCTTCCTTTATCATTTTTAAAAAGAGGAAGTAAGCTAGGCGCTCAGGGCGTCCTTCTATTTTATAAGGTTTCCAGTAGAGCGACTACGCTCAGAACGAAATGGTAGGCTAATCTTGTAAAAGCGTCTCTATGACAACGGACGTGTCAATCGGGTCAAAGCATTCTCTAGTATAGTCATGTGGAATTCTTTTTAGAATTTCGCAGTCCATAGAAAATTTGTGAGCAGCCACTTAAATGGAATGATAGTTAAGATCCGGTAGGAAGCGAATTGAATCAACTGAGCTTCCTGGTAAGATTTAGTTAACAACTGAATAAAGAGTAACATGTGTATAGTTTTGGAGTAAGTAGTAAAATATGTAGCGTAAATATAATTACCTTTCACTGTAAACGAAGTAAACCAATCGACTTTTAAACGGCTAGCGCTGTTATTTCTCTCCCTCTCAAATGGAACACATTTATCTAGCAGTTTTTTACTCACTGGAGGCCATTTATCGAAATTTAGAAGCTGAGATTATTCCATAGTAAAGTATCTCGCGATATAGAAAAGAAATTACATGCATAATACATACGAGTATAAATATTTATAAAAATTTATACTGTTCCTTCGAACAACCAATCTTTTGCTCAAAATTCTGGTATTAATAAGGATTCGCTTATGACTCTATTTGCCATCTATATTTAAGGGAAATTGGATCATCTCATCACTTAAAGGATAAAAAAACCGTAAAGCAGCAATTGTTACGCTCTGTCGCATCTGTTCAATCCAATTCTTCTAGGATTAGAAGGCAGTGAACTGTGAAGTTCCTTGACAGAGTAACACTCTAACTGAATGCAGATGTCACTACTAGCCACGAGTATACTCGCCGGGCGACAATTATAGAGAGTATAACTAAATTTCATCTACCTCTTCGATAAATAATGTTTCCTCCAATTACCTAAACCCTTAAGACTTAGCCTAAAATCTTAAATTACCTTAATGCAATAAAAACTCCAGTAGCGACAATTGCAAAATCAATATGAACAATTCCCGTAGCTCTCATTATTAGGATGACGTCCATGTTATCAACATCAAAAAAATCCTCTCAAGAAGCTTCAAAAACTCAAATTGTTGTCGCCGTAATTTTAGGGTCACTTCTTCTTATTGTTATATTAGTTCATGCCTGTGTGGTTTTTATCAAATGGTGCGCTAAATGTAAACTATTCAAGAAAAAGAAAAAAGTTGGTAATAAAGAATCTCAGATAGATTCAAGTGGATTACATGGAGGAATTCAAAATATGGTTTATGGAGTAGATTTTGGCAGAAGTCATGCAAAAAAAATATCTCAAATGCATATATAAATTTTCATCTTTTTGAATCTGCATACTTTAATACGAGAGAGAAGTTTCTTTTCTTGATCACTTGGAAAGATACATAGAGATAAATAGTGAAAGATTCGTGCTGGAACCAATTTATTTTCGATTTTTCTTTATCTCTTCTTCCTCAGGATATAGTAATAGTAGTAAAATTAAATATCTCGCCTATTTCCCTACAAATTAGCATGATAATAGGAGAGCTACTATTGTGACGGGAAGTATTTCAATTTTCTCTCATAAAAGTATCTCTTGAACAAAAATATGTTCAGCCTCTATGATAAAATAAAGGTAGTGATATAAAGTGGGCCACTTTATTTTCTTGTATCTTTGGAATTTAGTTTAGACGGTAAGTACGAAACGGCACTTTTCGTTCTCTACAACCGCCTATTGTGTGCGATTGACTACATTTGATTTATGGAGTAAAAGTATCTTTTTACTTTTGGGGCATTGGAACGAATAACATAAGTTAGTGTAACAAGTTAGATACGAAAAACCAGCTTCAAAATAGTATGCAGATGCTTAACAATAATGGAAAAAAATCCGTTTTTGGAATCTCATTCGACTAACATTTTTGTCATAAATGAGTAGTAATAAAGTTTTCTGTCGTTTTACGAATTTTTGGTTGTTGAATTTCTTCAGGTTTTCTCCTTGTAAACGTGTTGCATTCGTAATTGAATTGAGGTATATCGTTATCAAGATTGAGATCATGAAAGACTTCTAAGACAAACTTCGAGGATTCTCTTAAGTCAATTTCTTGATCGTCTTCATTTTGATTAATAGGTGTTTTTTCGTCAATTTCTTCGTTTGGCAACTCGTAGTCAGATGTTATTTTTTCAAAGTCAGTTTTTATGACACTAGCCCTTGCTGTCTCCATAAAGAGAGAGTGCTCTCCTAGATCGGTGGGTGTTATGAACATTTTTCTTTCCTCTCTTTCGCAGTGCATTTTCTTGTTCCGACTCCTACACTTACATAATAAAATGCACACAGTCATTAAAAGCACGAATATAATTATGGAGCCAGCCACTATTGCTATTAAAGCTCCATTTGATAGCAATTCTGATTCAGATGTTGTTCTTGAATGATCTGGATTCACAGCAGGAACCGTCGTCCGAACCTCTTTAATAGTCGATTGAGTAGCAGTAGTTATTCTGTCTGAATGAGCAAAAAAATTTTTTTGAGGTAAATAAACAAATTTAAGGAATAACAAAGCGTACTTGTCTGCCTTGAAGAGGCTTTTTCTCTCTCTTTGGTGCTACTTTCTAGTGGAAATTCTGTGCCAAGAGAGGTTATCGATGTTTTCTTTTGGATCGAACTTTTAAAACCAATTGTTGTTGCCTCGCTACTAATTTCAACTTGGGTTGTTCGTTGAGTTGATTTCAACATTGTCCTTTGTCTTTCAGTTGTAAGTGCTTCAAACAGACGATAAAATATTGTTTGGCTTACGCGCTTGCTTGTTAAGCGACTTTGTAAGGTGGTGATGGTACTCTTTTCGGGCGTAGTCTGAGTATTTAAACTCGTTTGTTTTCTCTGGCCCGAATCTGTTGTTTGCCAAACGCTGGGCTGTTTATGTGCAGTCTGTGTTTCATATAGGTTAGCCGTTGTGTCTGATTCATTGGTATTTGTAAGCGATACAGTTACATTGTTAAGCTGTATGATCGGTTGACTAGTGCTTTGTGTCATATCCCTTTTTGAGTCTGCAAAAGTTATTTGATATCGATGAGCTTATAATCATTATTTATATAAGGTATTTGTAACATTGTTTCCTAAACACTAACCATAAATATCAATTGCGGCTCCTGAGAAGTCCTCGCACAGAACCAAATCAGAATAAAACAGTAAAAAGCCGAAAAACGCACCTAACCAGGTCATAACCTGCAAAAGCAACTAATGGTAGTATTTCTTATCTCTTATCGGTGTTTACTCAAACTTTTTTCTTTACAATTTTTAAATCATACTGGCTTAAACAATATTTAAGCAAAGATAATTTCTATCCAGCAGCTTATAACTGTTGAATCTTGATGAAGAGTCGCGCAACACCTTATGTCCATTGCTTACTTATTATACGTTACCAAGACAACGAACTTTTAACCTATGTCAAGCCGAGACTGTTTGTCACGCTAAAAATATTACCGGTGTTTAATCCCACTATTATAGCTATTTATTTTTAACTTAACTGTTTAAGAGGATCAAAAACAAAAATGTTTCTGCTGTGAGAATATCAGTTGACAAAATTGGCAAACACCTGGCTTTAATATTAAAAAAGTACTTAACAGTATTATTCTAATTGAATTTTGTAAAAAAAACACAAACTAATTAACCAACCAATTAAGATATTTTGTAAAACGCAAAAAAAGCACTTTTTTTTTATCTTTCTCTGAAGAAGGATCTCTTGAAATTACGAATTTGTAAACACTATATACCGACGCAAGTGATTAGGCTGAAGAGGTCGGAATTTTATTACAAATCTTATTTCTTTCATTAGTAATTGCCGGTGCACGGATATATATTAATCTTGTTTAAATGAGGAAATTAGTTAATTAGAAACAAATGTATATTTATTAATGTAAGTTCAATCCGAGTAGCTAGTAGCTAGTCCTCTCGATTGACAAGTGATATAAGTTATCTCAAATAGTAGAGCAGTTATTATGACGTATGTAAAATAGTTTGAATGGATTCTTTATTTCCTTTTGTGTGTATTGTCTTCTCAAAGTAATTGCGCTGAAATCCTATACTTAAAATATTTTAGGAAACCAGAAAATTTGCATAAGAACCCATTAAATCCACTCGTATTAGAACTTATTTTTCGATAAGTCGCCTTCCAAATAAACACGTATGATCCATATCAAACGTAATAAATATAGCAAGTGAGTTTGCATATACGTTTGTATGTAGTAAAGGTATACACACAGGTTATATACCGGATATATAGCGTATAATATATATAAATTTATATATACATATATATATATATATGTATACAGTATATTTCTATTCAACCTGTAAATTTATTAAGGTATTCGTTTTATCCAAAAAACGTATTTCACAAATTCGTATTCGCTTTTATGAACCAAGAAACAAAAAACAAAAGTTTTTATTAATAGGAAACGAAAAAAAGAGTAGATGACTAATCGACAGCTAAGGAGATCTGTTAATTTTTCAGCAAGCTGCTATATAGATTAACGTATACGAGAATAAAATTGTCTCTTTCTTCTTGTATTTAGCATTTTACGCTAAATATGATTTTTAAAATAAAAATTTTTCCACCTGTCTAGGCCTATTCAAAATAAATAGATATTGTTCACAGGTTTAAAGATTTTTTACCCATTAAGACCTCAATCACTGTTACAAGACGAATTAAATACATATTATGTACAATTTTACTTACAATAATTATTGAAAGATGTTTCTAAAGTTGATTTTCGATTGTCCGAACCTTCGCTTGGCCCTGTATAATACTACAACACCTTTAAATAATACTCTATAGTGACCTTTGACCGCTCGACACGCCATCTGGTGGATATGTAATAAATATTTTTATGGGTAATTTAAGCATTATAACCCAAATTAGAAATAATTTATAAAAAAAATGACGGTACCATTATCGAAATGAAAAGAAGATAATAGATCGCGAATTGAATTTTATTTCTACTCTATATTATTTATTCTTATTTGTAAAACATTTTTATTCCCTAGGTGTCTGGTGAAAAAGTGAGTAAACTTTCCCTGGTCGATCTTGCCGGATCGGAACGAGCACAAAAGACTGGGGCGGTTGGAGAGCGCCTGAAAGAAGGTTCAAATATAAACAAGTCATTAACAACTCTTGGTTTAGTTATATCTGCTCTTGCTGAGCAGGATTCAGCGTCATCAAAATTCGTACCATATAGAGATTCTGTATTAACATGGCTATTAAAAGACAATCTCGGAGGAAACTCCAAAACAGTTATGTTGGCTACAGTTAGTCCTTCGGCCGATAATTATGATGAAACATTATCAACTTTACGATACGCTGATCGAGCTAAGAGAATTGTTTGCCATGCTGTCGTTAACGAAGATCCTAACGCTAGAATAATAAGAGAATTAAGAGATGAAGTGGATCAGTTAAGAAGGATGCTAAACGAAGCACAGGTTAGTGTCTCGGTTTATCGTTGATATATTAAAATTAAGAATTTTTTGAAGAGTCACTACGAAGCAGTAACTGTAGTCGTACGTACTTTGATCAGTTTCCGCTGTTTGATCACTTAACTTCGGCACTTTCTTTTTAACTCTCCTCTTTACTTTCACTTTATCTCGAAATGTTGACAACGTTGTTACACTAGATGGCAGTGGTTTAGTCTGGAAAGTCTCTCTGGGCACTGCAACATCTTTTTTAGTATGACGCACTCTCTTCGCTCTAAATTGGCGTCTTCTATACCTTCTCTTTTTGTTTCTTAAATAGCATAGGAATCCAAGAACAAAGGTTGTAAAAGTCAGTGGAATAGAAACAGTAATAATAGACCATTTGTTGAATTCCACACTTCCTAACAATGATTGATTGGAGAGTGTTTGAAAAAAGGGAGATGTATAAACAAAACGTAAAGTCTTTGCAGTAGCATTCGCAAAATCATATTCCATAACAATGTAAACAAACAATTTGGTTTGTTTATCTTTTCAATTATAAACATCTTATTTGAAATTTTAGAAATTTTAAGGCAAAACAAGAATATGACCTAAATTTCGAATTTGTCGATGAGTCGGAATTTAGAGACGCTCCGACTCGTACAAGTAGAAAATCTCGTCTAACAAATAACGGCTTACTTGTTGACTGAGGAGGCAATCTGCAATATCGCATTCTGATTGTAGTTGCAGATAGGCGAAATATTTCCACGCGTCTCCCAACGTTTCATTGATAAGATGCGCAAACACTAAAGAAGTAATTATTCTGGTGTTATTTACACTGATTGGGTTTTTTTTAAATGAAATTTTTCAATTTATAACATTGAAATATAAATCAATGTTTGAGATGAAGAAAAATCCTCTGCTGTAGCAAATTCCCACGACTAAATTTCCTAATATCCGGGGCGTCGACCGCTTTTTACCAACTAGGCCTAAAAATCGTCTTTTGTCCTTTATCGATCCAGTTCATCTCTCTATTTTGCCTTTCGTATCGATCTATACAAAAGGGAGAAGAAATTGTAATACAGGAGCCTAAAAATGATGAACGATGGACGCTGGCGTCAAGGCGAGCGGAACGAGTAGAAACGACGTCGTTTATATGCTTCACTAAACCTCAGCCGGATTTTCTTTGCTTACTATACTTTCGTCTATTAGATTTCCTTTTCCCTTTCGACATTCTTTTTTATCGTTGGTCCTATAAATCAGACATCTTTTAAATCCATCAATTAGCAGTCGCGAAAAATTTGTAAGCATTTCTTAAGTAGTTACTTGTTAACAATAATATGGAATTTTCCATACTTCTTTCTCCCTCCACTTAGGTTGTTCCAAGAGAACATTTCTTGGTATTATGTCAATTTAAAGCAAAAAATTAGTGTCTTTTATGTAACAATATGACGATACTCTTATTTCTTTATATTATCCTATGGAATAATACATTATTGGCCAAAATATATTACATTACAGTTTATACACTAATGTATATATACACTGTACACAGTATACTGTTAAGATTTCTAAGGACTCGTCTCAGCTGTTGCAAGGCTGCAAGAGGGTACTCTACTATGAGGGGAAAAACTTGAAAAGTTCAAAGTTTGTCTTTGGGGGATGTAAAATCGGTTTCTTGCTGTTGGTGTTAAGTAAAAAAAGATAGGAAAGAGTGGAAATTAGGAGCAAATGGTTGGGAGAATAGTGTTGAGGGGAGGGGAAGAAGTCCAAAAACTAATTACACAATTCTGATAGCGTAGAAAAAAATCGATTTTTGCAGCAGAGCAATTCAGTTCATATTAGATTTTTGAAGAAAAGAAAGGTCGTTTAGCGAAACTTGTTACTAGTACTGTTAATATATTTGATAAGGATCTCGTAGCGCCCAGAAAAATTTACATAATGAGACTCGGCCTTTGGGCTACCGAAAATTTAATAACGATGTCACAAGCCTGTTGTTGCTCAATCGGCTATCTATACTCGGCTTCTCTTCTATTCTAGTTAGTTAATAGTTCCTGACGGATTATTTTTCAAGTTAGCTGTAATTAAATTTTCAACATAATTCTTTTTTATTAGCCTTTTGCGGCCTATTTTCCTTCCCACAGAAACCATATTCCATTACGAATAATATCTAAGATTTGTAAATATATAAAACCTTCATTATGATGCAGTGAAGGTGATGAGGTCCTGATTTAACGAAAAGAGAAAAGTTTCTTGTACAAAGCCTCGCTTTCATTTAATTATATCGTTATTCTAGAGAGAACAACTGTATGGCTTACAAAATACTTGTGTTTGTCTTTGCTTTCTACTGCACAAAATTATAAGACTACGTATTGTATAAACATCATAAACTAAGCTTTTATTTGTATTCCTTCATATCTAGCCCATACCTGTTTGTTTTTTGGCCTTCCTAAGACTATGAAGGCTTTTGATTTCCGTTCCCTTAAGTTACTAATTTCACCGCGAGAGAAATTGTAGAAACTTCAACTAGGGTACTTAGCTGATACTTAGAACATCCTAATGTCGATATACATTTTCTCACCGAAATAATGTTGACGATAGGCGTCGCTGTTTAAAGCGTTGCATAAAGCACTGCAAGATTGACGATCGAAACGGATATAGGATTTTATGGCCGATAACACTGCAAAAGTGACTAATTGTTAAATACTGCAAAAATATGTTAATCGGATTTACTAGCTTTTCTCCGAATTGTAATAGGCGTAATTCACCTTCTCATTTAAAGGTTCTATTAAAAATAAACAGCTTTTTTTTACTGAATCCCTTGTTTCTGGTTATCCTGCGAGCTTTCTTCGTTCTAAAGCTTTACTTATTTGTTTTAACAGAGCATGAAAGCTCCTGAATTAAAGGATCGACTTGAAGAAAGCGAAAAATTAATGAAAGAAATGAGCAAAACATGGGAAGAAAAATTAATGGAAACGGAAAAATTACATCAAGTGAGTTTTTAATATTTTCAACTTTTCTACATAATTTTTGTTCCAGACTTGTGAGTTTTAAATTAATTTTCTTTCAAACATCCTAACGTTTTACATTTTGAGGGCTTTTATCATAGTTATACTGTTCGAGCACCTGCGATTTACAGTACAGCACGTGATCGCTTTTAACCATTAGATGATTGGGTATTGACCGAAAAGGGTAACAACTAAAGCTGTGAAAAAAAAAGCAAATATATAATCGATTTGCCACAGTCGTAAATAAATAAATGAACACACTAAAGAGCTTCTATAAGCCAGATTTCCTTGACCAACCAATTCTGATTAATTTAAGCAAGGGTTGTTGATCAGGTAGCCAATAGTGGTGGTTGATAATTCGAAAAAGTCTTATTTATTAAAATTGCTAAAGAAATATTTGTATAAATATGTAGATTTATTCAAGCGCCTGGTTCGTGTACAGAATTTTTCTTTTATTGGTAATGAAATCGAATTTAAATTTTATGAAGGACAGAAAGCCGCTTCATATTATAAAAAAAATAGGACCAATATCTAAGAAAAGTCAAGTGCTTTTATACCATTTTAAACATTATATTGATTGAGAAGACTGCATGATGAAAATAAACTTTTAGTTTAATGGTTTCCTACGAACCTCAATTAGACGCTCTTTTTAGCACCCCGTAGATTAATTTAATAAAAGAAAAACTCTAGCAACCTAAAAACTTAATTACCGGAAAACGTATTTATAAAATATTGGAAAGAATATTAATGTGATTTATTTCTTTTCTTTAGGAAAGACATGTTGCGTTGGAAAAGATGGGAATTTCCGTCCAAACGTCTGGTATAAAAGTGGAGAGAGGAAAATATTACCTAGTTAACCTAAATGCCGATCCTAGTTTAAACGAGCTACTTGTTTATTATCTTAAGGAAGACAAGACAATAGTTGGAAGAGAGGGAGGAGATATTGAACCTGACATTCAACTGTGTGGTTTGGGAATTGCAGCTCATCACGCTGATTTAGAAATTGTCGATGGAGAAGTATTCGTGACCCCGCAAAAGGACGCAAGAACTTGTGTAAATGGTAGGGAAATTCGAGAAAAAATAAAAATTAAACACGGAGATAGAATAGTCTGGGGTATGAATCATTATTTTAGGGTAAATTGTCCAACTGCTCAAAACTCACCGGCTAACCCGGTCGATTATGAGTTTGCTCAGCGAGAACTCTTGAGTGAGGGATCTGATCCCATTCGAGAGGCTATAGATGCTTTACAAAGGCAACATAGAGACGATAAAGAAGAGGCCTTGGCCAGGCAACGGGCGATGTACGAAAAACAAATGCGAATGTTGAAATCTCAGCTAATGTCACCATCAACACCTAATTTTACTCCTTATTTTGGAAACATGACACCTATTACGCCTACAGGAGGAGCTTTGAGAGGTAGATATCAGCAATTAATGGAAGAACGTGAAGCGGAACTGAAACAGGCTCTAGTTCGTTTGAAAGAGGATGTCCTCAAGGCTAATTCCTTGGCAAGAGAAGCCAATGTCTTAGCTAAGGAGTTAGGAAAGAGCGTAGAGTTTGGAGTGACTTTACAAATTCCAGCCGCCAATTTAACGCCTCACAGAAGACGGGGAGCCTTTGTAACAGAACCAGCCATTGTTGTGAGACGAGCAACCCGAGAGCAAAATATTTGCAGTCTAGAAGAATTTGAACATAAAGTAATTTCAATGAGAGAACTTTATGAACTTCGACAATTAGAAACAGAATCTTCACCTGGGAGCACCGATCCCTTCTATGAAGCTCAAGAGAATCATAATCTCATTGGAGTTGCCAACGTGTTTCTCGAGGTATTATTTCATGATGTCACTCTGGAATATCAGGTTCCGATTATCTCTCAGCAAGGTGACGTAGCTGGAAGGCTCAGCGTCACTATAAGCCGAACTGCTGGCAGCTTAGAGGGCAATCTTGAAGGTGAAAGGGTCAGATGCAGGATTGGCATTAAAGAAGCAAGGGGACTTCCCCCGGCTCTCTCACACTTTGTCTTTTGCCAATATACTTTTTGGAATGAGCAAGAACCTGTCGTTGTCCCTCCCTTAGTCGATCAGCAGGATTCGAATCGATTTCGTTTTGATCATTCCGAAGAGTATGAAGCGGAAATTAACGACGAATTTTTGGAGCATGTCAGTGATGGTGCATTATCGATTGAAGTTTGGGGTCACAGGTTAGTTTTTTTATCGATTATACTATCGACAGATTACTAAGGCGAAACTAATGTGAACATTATGACTATTAGATCCCATGGCTTTTCCAATGTTCTTCCTACTTTAACTGCATCAGCCCCGTCAGACTCCGCAAACAGTCGTAGTCTAGCCGAAAGGTGGTCCGAAGTGAGACGACAATTGGAGATGTGGGTGGAAATTCACGAGCTGGCAGATAATGGAGAATATGCCCCCGTTGAACTGGTCCAAAAGCCTGATATATTCTCTGGGGGGGTATTTCAACTAAGGCAAGGACATTCCAGAAGAATTCACGTACGTCTAAGTCGATCAAGGAGAAACGATGCAGGCACTCTGCCTCTCTTAGTTGATTCTATTGATCATGTTTCAATCGGTTGCATTTGTGCTAGATCCTCAACTTTACAAAAGGGATTAGACTCTTATCAAGAAGATGAACTACAGCTTCTCCGATCGCAATGGTCAGAAGCCCTTGATAAGCGTCGCAACTATTTAGACGAACATTTACAACGTATAATGCAGAAAGGGGATGACAAGAGTGAGGCAGATGTCGAACGAGAAAGGGCACTTATTCAACAATGGATCTGGTTAACAGAGGAGAGGAACGCAGTACAAGTTCCTTTATCAGGTGTACCTGGTGCTCCTGCTGATTGGACTCCACCCGTTGGGATGGAAAAACACATTCCGTTAATTTTTCTTGATTTAAAAGAGCAAGAGCTTGGTATAGGTCAAACTGCCCTCGAGGGCGTCGACTCAGCCAGACCAACACCAGGCATGAATGCTATTTTACCAAAAGAGCATGGGGGAAAATTTTGTGTTTTACCGACTGTTTGGAACGGTTTAGAAAAAGGTTCCACTAATGTTGCCATCACCGCTTCTTGGGATTCATCTATTCATAACTCACCTCATTTGAATCGAGTTACCCCTCCAGGGGAAAGGGTTTATCTAATAGTTAAGGTTATTGCGCGATTATCTTTACCAGCTCCGTTGGATTTGGTGCTGAGAAAACGGATTGCTATTAACGTTTATAAACGGCAATCTATAACGGACAGGCTTAAAAAGAGGATTGGAAAGACGGTAAATATTATTTTATGTATTATTTTTTCATCTATCATTTCAATTGGTAAAAAAGTTCTCTTTCATTTCTTCTATACAAAGTTAACATACGCATTCGTTCACATATTCAAAACTTTATTTTGTTGTTTGGTTCTTTTTTTTTGCATGCTCCAACTATTTGTCGTGTTAAATAATATAGATGTGGAGTCCATTTACGGGCGATTCACCTTCCCAGGAAAGCGCAGTGTCTTCAGGCGTCACATACGATATCGTCAACAGCATTCCAAAAGTAAGTCAGATATTAATTGTGATGAGTTTTCTAATTCAAGTTTAATGAACTGTTTATTAAATTAGGCTTCTGAGGAATTAGAAGATAGAGAAACATTAGCGCAGATGGCCGCTACCGGTGCCAATGATGGAGAGAGTTACATCGAGAAATATCTTAAAGGCGTTAGTGCAGTTGAAAGCATTTTGACATTGGATAGGTTTGAAATCATAATAAATCTTTTAAATTTCCTAATTGTTTTGATTTAACCTTTTATAATAATTTTAGGTTAAGACAAGATGTTGCTGTTAAAGAACTTTTGGCTCAGAGAGGTAGACCTCTACGTAAAGCCACTAGCGTTCCTAATATCCACAACGTAAGTTTGAACGTCTCACCAGTAAAAAATTTGGACTTATTTTTTGTTTTACACTTTTTTGCATGTTCGTAATATTTATATATACGCACAACAACAATTTTTCCTTCTCCCCTCGAATGTCGTATCACTCACTGAAAAACAGATTTTATCGTCATCCATGCACAACCTTTCCTGCATCGAGGCAAGTGCTGCCATCTATAGTTTATATAATGCATTGATTTTGTATAATAATATTTACGCCTAAAATATCGCTTATATCTTGCTTAAAATGTACAGTTCCGATCCGATAGTATTCAAGACTTGACTCATTCCGTATCAGCACATGAGGGTGTGGCAAAAGTATCATCAAATAGGAATCAAATGGAATCAACTCCTGCATCAATTCTTCCGTCAAAACCTACTTTCAACAAAGGTTTGTAATTCAATAACCAGATGATAAAAATACTTTTACTAATTGTAAAAGATAAAATTTAATAAGATATTAAAAATATTCATAATATTGCGCTCAGCTCGGCCGAATTTCCTAAATTTAAGAGGAAATTTGACAAATTCCAAGCGTATGTTCCGCTGTTGTTTGTTGGAAGATTTAGTTTTTATTATAGTTTTGCATGCTTTTTTTTTTTCAAGTTAAATCTTTTTAAATTGAGATCTGAATTTTTCTAAATCAGAAGGTGAAGCGTATAAATTTTTAGAGATAAATCCTACTCTAAGCCTTATCCTTTTATTAGAGATAAATAGTCAGTCGTATTGAGGAAGTCAGCTTGTTTAGGGACTATGAAATTTAATAGGCTGTTTGGTTAGTCTCGAGTCACTAGTCCTGTGTCCGGCCTAACATTACTGATGAGCCACAACTCTACTTCCCAATGCTAACGATAGCGGCGAATGATCTAATACAACACTTAACTATTCCCTTTATTAGTCTTCTTTTCCACTTAGCTACATTTATTGCATATAAAAGAAGTATGTAGATTATTCTATTCTCTCTTTAAATTGTAGATCAACGGAAAGGATTATATATATATATACTGTATATACAGTATATATATATTTTTTTCAATTTTCACTAAAGCACGACAATTACTATAGCTTAGATTTATTTATATTTTTATATTTTTATTTTACAATTTATCTTCGTCACCAAATAGATAGTATTCACCCTATTCTATCAATTTCTTCTTAATTTAACTTTTAAATATATACAGGTTCAAGTTTTGGTTCAAGTCCCGGTCAAAATTCTATTACTACTGCCAAGGTTGACCCAAGACAAACTATGAGTACAGTAGTTGAAGAACAACAAAAGCCAGTAATTACAAAGGCTGAGGTTATAAAAATAACAATAAGACAGCTAATAAGAGATCGATAGAATGATCCGTTAAGTGAAGAAATATTTTTTTTATTTCAGTCCGATTCTGAAACAGAGAAGGAGGAAGTTGAGAAACCTCAAGCTGAAACAGAAAAGAAACTTTCACCCTCTTCATCCGATTTAGATATAGAAGACTTCAAAGGTCCGAAGCCACTTGGTAAAATAATTACTATCGACAATACACCTGAATCTAGTGGTTATGGATCTGTATCAACCAATACTTTAAGTTCAGAATCTTGTATAGAGACTGGTCAAAACGGACATTCCGATACAGAGGAAAAACAACCGGAGGAGAATGATATAGAATCTAGAGAAGAAGATACAAAAAAGAATAAGGAAGAAGTAAAGAAATTAAAATCTAATCCTGGTGGCACAGCCAAAGTATCTCCCATGAAAGCAACCTATAGACCGATATCGATGCTGGAGCATGACAATCACGAAGACTTTGTTGAAGATGAAGATTCTGTAAGCGTGTGCTCGTTTGGTTCGAGGGCTGATTTAAATCGATTAACGGAAGGCGCTGTACCAGCATGGGTAGTTACGGGAGTATCCGTAAACGTTTTATCATCGAATCCATCAATCTCTCAAAAACCCGGAACAATTGCATTTGTTGGACCTACCGAGTTTGCTCCTGGAATCTGGATTGGCGTTGAATTAGAAAACGCAGACGGCAAAAACGATGGTTCGGTTAAAGGCGTTAGATATTTCAAATGCCGTAGTCGGCATGGAATATTTGTCCGTCACGATAAAATTGTTATGGATAAAAAGAGGAGAAAAATAGGGAAAAATAGTAATTTAAGAAAATCTACTGGGAGTTTGGTAAATCATTGTTTAACTCGTCCAACAGCTTCGTCCTCTGCAAAACAAAGTAAAACTTAACGCTTATTATACTTTGACTGATTTAATGACTGTTTAATCGGTTTCTCCCGATTTACATCTTTTTGCTTAACGATCACATATCTTATAAGGCTTTATCTAAGAAAATTGATAATTTACCTATCAACTCCCTGGGGCGGATGTGATGATGTATAAGTAACAGTAGGGAATTTAAAATGGTTAAATAATTTGTGGTTGTGATAAAAATTAAACCAGGGTAATTAAAATCTAAATTGAAAGGGATAAAATAATCTGAATATATTTTAACCTAATTAGCATAAATCATTTGGAGCTTGAAGGTGCTTTCAGTTATTTTATACTCTTATGAAGAATTTGATGAAAATGAAAGATGTTATCGTTTTTTCTCTTTTTTTTTTTACAAGCGCTTTCGATAAATGCCAACAATTTCCTATTCAGTATATATAAGCTTATATGTTTTTTATAACGAAAAATGAGAAGAGTAGCAAAAATCCGCACTTGTCACATTCCATTCTGTTTCTAATTGAAAAAATAAAGATATCCCGACTTACCTATAACGTTGGTTCTCTTTCCTCTCGTCTGTCCTGTCGTCTTCTTTACATCAATTCATTAATTCCGCGTATCTTGACATTATTTCATGTACACTTTCTTTAAACAATCGTTGTATGTTTAAACATTTCTTTGGCCACAAAAAACTGTTTTATCTTAAACATGTCTTCTCTTTCTAGTAATCAATTAACCCGCCCATTTCTTTAAATTAAATTAAATTACTCATTTTTTATCATAGCGAAACACTCTTATGATTCGTTCCTTATAATTATTTCTTTGCTAATTACCATGACATTTACCTGCAATGTATTTATCATTCCTTTTTATTCATTTTTTTTTCTGATCCATGCTCTTAAACTTGACTTATGATGAAAGAACAAAGTTGTCTCATTTTTACGTTTTGTTTCATTCATTAGTTAAAATAATTGTGTAAATATATTCTTTTATTTATTGCTAGTTCTTTTTGTTCTACCCTTTATTTTTTTAATTATTGTTTTTTTGTTTAAATAAATTTATTAAATGTGTTCTACCAAAAAAAGAAAAAGAAGAGAAGAGAGCAATAGTTTGTTATATACAGTATTTAGATTGTTTTGGTATTCTCTATTTCTTTTTTTTTTGGCTGCTGCAGCTCAAAATTTTATTATCTGATTATTTTTCATTTGTAAAGAAAATGATTAGAAAAGAGACGAATATTAATAATTTTTGTATAAAAGAGTTAAAGAAAATGTGAATAAAGAGAACAAAATTTCTATTTATAATAATATGTTGACCTTTATTTTTGTTGGATGCTATTTTTTTCGTTTTATTTCTTTTATTCTCATTATAAAAATAATTGTATCGTAAAACTTTGCCTCGTTTCTCTTTGTTTCGCTTTCAACATATTTACAAGTATATTATAAAGAGAAGATAGACCCAAATCTTTTCTTGAAATAACGAAGGAAAACACAATTTATCTTTGTCATAGTTTATTAAAAATTAATAATACTTTAAAATTTAACGCGTATGAATACAATAATTCATTTGGATTACTTACAATTTTTATAAGAGTTGTTTTTTGTCTTACGAGTAAATCCGAGGCTAATCGTCAATCTGATTAATAGGCCTACAGCGATCGAGTAAATAAGGACCACGTTCGTCCTCTCCATCAACGTTATAAGCTTGCGTTTCAGTATGTATAACGGGACATCTAAAATACAAGAGTAAAAAATATAAGAAAGAATAGTAATAAAGTAATAAAAGAGTGAAAATATGGTCTTTTTAATTTTTAATTTATATATAAAAGTAATAAAACCATATATACAGTCGAGTATATATATACTGAATCTACTGTATAAAATTTATACTGTATATAAACACAGTATAGTACCTATATTATATATATTGTGTCTATATAACCGAGTATTTACCTGAAATTATTCGGGCATGTGCACAAAAATTCGTATCCAACAGTATGGGAATGACCCCTATCCAAATATCTTTGAACACAGGGGGAGGACGATCTGGCACAGTGCCTTCTTTCACACCCGAAAGAATATAACCATAAATTATGGATCTTTTCTTGACGCCAGCCCTTTTTTTTTATTGAAACAATAATTAATTAGGATTTATTTAACAAATGGATCCTAAACATTCATTGAATGGTTAAACTTGTATGAAGTGTTTTAGTGCTGGTTCGGATACTCTTAAGATAGAAAGCAACAAGCTTACCGTCATAAAATATGAGCTTGGACACAAACATTTTGATTCCTTCAAATACGGTAACCAATATTCTCCCTGCTTATTAGCTGCCAGGACTAAAGCTAATTTCTCCTTGGCAGAACATGTGACTTCTGATAATACCTCGCTGCAGAATTTGTACTGAATCATTCGATCAGGAAACTCGTGATGCTGACAAGTAATCGTTGATCTTGACGGTCTTTCAGTAGTCCAATTGCCGAAACATTTCGGACATTTACAAAAACCAGGTTCAACGATAACTTGAGAAAGATCGAGCAATTTTGATAAACCTCTACATACTGAATTTGAGCCACGACAATAGGGGATCATCTTAGCCACCTGAGCGAAATGAAACATAAGAAAATGTAAAGATTATACCCAGTCGGCAACCGTCAATGTATTCGTATTAATCCTTCCTATATATTCTTTAATAATTAACTAGGTAAAAGTCATTAGCAACGAATATCCGTCGAATAAACGGTCTGCTAAAAGCATACTAATTTCTTTAGGGATATTCCAAGTAGCATTATATATAATAGACTTTTGACCAGGTTAAATTCTATCCAATTTTTAGCTTAACTTAAACAAATATTCTAAAATGTAGTCAATCTTTTCCTTTTGAAATTTAGCGATGTAAATATTTCATTTGATTATTTTACATATAAAAAAACGTTTAATTGAATTTTCTCCATCTTAGTTTGTTTCTTTTTTACTTTATTTACTAATTGAGTCCTGTTTAAAAAAACTTAATTTCTACATCTATCTTGTATTTGTCTTTAACCGCGTCTTTCTATCTCTTTACTCTCCCTCTCTCTCTCTCTTTCCTTTACATCTGTCTTTATATATCTTCTTTTTACCATTCTTTTATTACAGAAATTGATGTTAAATAAAAGTATAGTGAGCGGGAGGGAAAGAGAAAGAGCGAAAAAGAGAAAAAGAGAAAAAGAAAGAAAGAGAGAGAGAGAGAGCGAGATAGAGAGAGAGACAAGGAAATGAAAAAAAAAATAAAAAAAGCTATCAGTCATGCAAGCATCATTGAATCCTTTCAAATTACTCTCTATTCATACTTACGTAAAAGTCCCTATCAGAATTATAGGTAATAAAGTATAAAGCTACGTTTAACTGTGGGATAATTCTTGTATTCTTTATTAATTAATTAATAATAAGAAGCTTTGCAATACTGTCTTTTTCGTTTTTACTTTTTATTTCTTAAGCAAACTATTAACTTTTATAGTTTTCTATTATTTTCATTTTATTTTACTTACCACACGATCATCGAAAGCTAAAACTGCATTATATAAACAAAAAATGTAAGTAAATATCACCAGCATCTCTCTCGAATATTTGCCTGCTGTAATGAAAATCCTGTTTTTCTCTCAGTTCAATACAGCGCCACCTGATAGATTTAGAGAATAATAGACGCCCAGCCTGTACATTAAACAATAAACTCGAGTTGTAAACGACGTTTTTCTATTTCGTCTTTCGATGGTAATAAAGAAGAGCTGTTATTAGTTTCTCTTTTATTTAATGCTTTGACTAAAATGGACAATTAATTAGCGTTTTCTTTACGCAATTCACTGTTATTGTTTATTATTAGCACAATGTAAATTACTATAACTACAGTTCTGACTATAAAACGAATAAATAACATTATACTTTCTTCTCAAATACAAGTCTATGGTAATTTTTTCTTTCGTATCACGTAGAAATACAAACTTCGTCAATGAAAACTCCATTTTTCCTTCCCCTGCTCTCATCCTCTCTGACCCTTTAACCCCTATCAAATTCTCTTTTTAACCGTAGCTTCGCTTTCTTTGGTTTATAAACGTTAATGGAAAATATGTAAATAGTAGGCTTTAGTCGTTTAATATATTAGCAGATGGTTAGAAAAAGGTGAACGCGAAAAATTTATATAATCAAGAAATAGCAGTTGAATAATTTTCGAGTAGAGCGAATACTAGGCCTATTTGTTTTATTACATTAGCAGTGGGAGGTTTCTCTTCTCACTCGTCGCTTAACCAGTTTCGTCTTGCATTTTAGAAGTTTAATTAAGAAAAATTCCATTTTTCTCCTTTTTAGTTCATTTCAAAATTAAATGAAAGTTGGTTGGAAAGAAAGGGGAAGAGTTATAAATAAAGGAGAGTATAGAAAAAAGAGAGAAAGTAGCGAGAGATACTTGGCTAAAGACAAAAGACGGAACAGAGAGAGAGAGAGAGAGAGAGAGTCGTAGAGGAGAAGAATAAATTGAATCTCAAACAGTATTTTCAACATAACTCTTTCTCCCTGCATCAATTCATCCATTATCCACTTATTCCAAAAAAAAAACACTTCCGAGTAGTATTGATTTTTAATTAGAATTGACCCTGACCCTTTTGTGATTTTAATTTCTGATTACAAATCTTGATTTATGAGAAATTGTTTAATCTTAATAGAAATGAAATAATTCTCTTTCTACATTAATTTAATCAATTCTAAGACAAAAGAAAATGAATTCATTAAATCAACCAATAACTTTTAACAAGAGAATATTCATTTCTTGTTCTTTTCTTGCGACAAAACAAGTTTTTCTGCTTACACTAAAAAATTCTCATATATATGAATGATTTTGTAAAAAATAGTCACTGTAGGCCTTTTGTTCACAGAGTTTACTATTTATATTTTCAATTGTATACTGGGTTGTATAGAATAAAAATGCAAAAGAATCATATTGAAGATGTTAAACTGGTTTCTTTACTATAGTATAACCTATCATAAAACAGAATATTGAAACAACTAAAATCATCAGCAATCGTCGAAAGAGAGATAAAAAGTATATATATATATATATATGTAAATAACAGCAATAATATATTATAAGTATAGATACTTATAGGTTTATATATATATATATATATATATATACTTATACGTATTTTGGCGATGGATATAGCCATTCTATATTTATGTTGATATATTTATATGTTCATCTATTTACATTTCTAAATATCCAAGGCAAAACCTCTGGTAAGAAGATAGAAAACTTCCAATTCGTACAAGAATTCATTGAAATATTCTTGTTACTTTATAAATAGTTTTCGGATACAATCTCCTTCATTGCTGTCAAAAACTTATATACTTCGACAATCTTTGACATGTCGGTTGAAAACAATGAATTACTAGCCGATAAAGAGGAGAAGAAATCGGTTTATGTCAGTAAAAACATATTTTCGCAGATTACAGTATGGTAAGTACAAAATATATCTTTAATTGTAAACGAAATATGTAATTGCGACTTATAAAGACATACACACGGTATCTGTCTATCTAGGTGGATTGAAGGTTATTTTAGTATGAGATGGAGAAAGAAATTTGAGAAAGAAGATTTAGGACCTCTGCCTCCAGAATATTCTTCACAATGTTTAGATTCCTGTTTTAGAGAGTAAGCTGTTAATGGGAAATTCTTTTTTACTGATAAAAAGCTATAAGAGATCAATTTATAATAGAAATTTTTCAAGTATATCTTTTCTATTCCCACAGAAAATATGAAAAACTAGGAATAGACAAAAGTGTTTATATCTTTTTAATGAAGATGCTTTTTCATATGTTCCCAAGGAGCTTATTAATAATAGGAATCCTGTCTGTAATTACTGTGAGTACATAACATCTAATTGATTTATACTGGGAGAAAATACATATTAATTTTATAACTAACTTAATTAGCAAATATCTAAGGTATCCATTGCGTACATTATTGAGTCATTAATAAATTTTTTGGAAAAAAATGGGAGCTATAACTCTATTTGGTGGGGACTTTTATTGACGTTGGAATTATTCCTTGTTCTTATTATTCATAACTTTTTAAAATCAACTATTGAACACGAAAATCGACTTGTTGTTACAAGAATCTCTTCGACAATTACTCTCAATATTGCCAGAAAGGTATGTGATACAATTTTTGAATATTAAAAGAGACGCTAAGTTACTTTTAACAAAAAAACAATATTCCAGAACATATTTGCGCCTTCTCATAAAGAATTAAAGTCGAAATGTGTAGACAATTTAATCTTTCTCCTTCATACCGAAGCCGATACTCTTTACACAGAAATAATTTCATTATTTAACGTCTTCTTAGCAACCATTGCCAATATTATCATTATTTTTATAATAGCAGCTGATTTTGGGAGTTATGTATACTATTTCCTGGTTATATACCTAATAATAAAATCAACTTTTCTTGTAAGCAGCTATTTAGAAGGTAGTAGTTGATTGTAAATAATATATTCAATGCTCTTCTCAAATTCTATTACAGGAAAATCAAGAGAAAAGTGTAAAAGTTTGATTATTGATAGGAATATACTAATGAAACAAATAATATGTGGAATAAGTGTAATTAAAATGTACGTCTGGGAAAAAGCTTTTAAGATGATTATTAAAGAAAAGAGAACATTTGAATTAAAGTATAAGAGTATTGTTTCAGCAATAAGGATTTTCTATCTTAGTTTTAGGGATACAATAAGCAAAATACTCATACTGCTGATTTTACTAATATGTATTTATGATAAACTACAAACGTCTGACCTCCACCTTGCTGTTTTATTTAAAACAATGATATTATTACATATTATCGAATGGAATATCTTTGTTAATGGTGTTTGGGGAATAAGTAAAGTTCAATCTTGCTTAAATAGTATCAAAGGATTTCAGGACATAATGAATTCTAAAGATCTTCAACGTGAAGAAAGGTCTTCGCAAACCGATGTTGTAAAAAAGCGACGTTTCGCTATCTTTATTGAAGAGTTAAATACAACAAAATTTTCTCATGGTAAACTTACTGAAGAGGATGGAGATTGTCCTCCTACCGTAGAAGAGTATGATTTTGTTGGCAGTAGTATCTTCAATGTAAACTTATACGTTAAACAAAGACAAATTGCTTATATCACTGGCCATTGTAATTCAGGAAAGGTAATTATCTAAATATGCACCATAAATAACTTATGCAAAAGTATTTTTTGTAATAAATTTAATTTACTATAGTCTACTCTATTAAGAGCGATAATAGGAGAAATTCCAGTATCAGCTGAAGAGCTGATAGTAAGAGGCAAAATAAGCTATCTGCCCCAAACTCCATGGATATTTAATGGTACAGTTAGAGAAAACATTATAGGCCCAAACTTATTCGACTATGAAAGATTTTGGAAGATAATCAAAATATGTCATTTGGAAGAGGAATGCGTAAATTATCCATCAGGCATTCAGACGATTATTGGTAATAGAGGATTTCGAATTAAGGATACGGACAAGTCAAAAATCTCCTTATCCAGAGCTCTTTATCAGAACGCTGACATCTTTTTATTGGACGAACCCTTTCAAACGTTACCAGAACACGAAAGACTTTCTGTTTATAGAGGAATAAAGAAGTTCCTAAAGTTTAAAACAGCAGTTATCGTTACTCAAAATCATCAGATTTTGTCTAAAGTCGATAGTTTGATTATTATGAATAAAGGTAGAATTGTTCATGAAGGTGAAAAGAATGAAATTGCAGAGAAAATGCTGAATAATATATTTAAAGATATTCTTGTTGAAGAAGATCAAATTGTTCAAGACAATACAACATACTTATACGAGGAGATTATTGATGAAGAAACAAGTCTGCTAAATACGCTATCCGACTACACTAAAAGGGGTGGAGCTGTTCGGCTCTTCTTCATTATTTTGATAGCTTTAGTAAGTTGCGTTGGGTTAAATTTAGGTATTGATTATCTAATTACGAAATATTATACATATGGTATAAATAAGAAAAATCTACATTTAATTGGTATCTTACTTGGAATAATGTGGTTTTTAAACTTGATTCTACATCTTCTTATTAATGTCTTTGTACCAAAAGCATCACATGAACTTTATTCCCAAGCGGTGGCTAATATTTTGGAGGCTCCATTAAAATTTTTTAAAGTGAATAGCTTGGAAGGCATCCTATCGAAATTTTTTAAGGATACCATAGTAATTGATAATGAAATTTATGATATTGCCTATCAAATAATAACTTATGGGGCTTATGGCTTTGGTAGCCTTATAATAATGTTTATAGCCATGCCTTGGACGCTTATCCCGTTTGCTGTTATAATTATATGGTTTTTTCTCGTTATTCGAATACCAATACCGTCTATTAGAGATTTTGAAAAATTAGAAATTAACAATCTATGTCGATTATTTGGTTGTTTACATGACGTATTTACGGGACATGAGAATTTAAGAGCATATAAAATGAGTAAAGTTTTACTTGAGAAACTTTATTCTACCCTAAACGACTATACAACTGTAAAGTTTTACTGTTTAAGCGCATATCAGTGGTTAATAATACGACTACAAATTATTTTCACAACGTGTTTTGCTATTGCTATTTTAATATGTATAATCAAAGCCAATGATCTGAATTTAATTCTTGTTGGCTTGTTCCTGGTTCACAATTCTGTTAATTTAGATTATTTAACAAACTTTTGTCGAGCATGCCTTGAATTAAGAAGAAAAATGATATCTGTCAGACGATTATTAACTCTAACTCATTTGGATATTGAAGAAAAATATACCTACAGACCTGCTTATTCGCTTAAGACCGGAGGTCAACTACCTCATATTGCACTACAACAAGTTATGTTAAGGTAACAATGGTGAACCTTTTAGGCTATTTATAGATAAGCTTTATATGTTTCTACAGATACGATGAATTCTCGGATCCTTCACTTATAAATATTTTCTTACAAATCCGTAAAAAGCATCAGAAAATTAGCATTGTCGGGAAAAAGGATGCTGGTAAATCATCTTTGGTTAGTGCATTTTTTAGATTAACAGAGCCGGATGGGAATATTATTATTGATGGTGTTGATATTAGTAATATACCATTGGAGCTTGCAAGATCTCATTATTCGGCCCTTACACGGAGTCCTTTCTTGTTCAGTTCTTCTATTAGAAAGAACTTGGACCCTTTTGACATTTACGAAGATGAAGCTCTCTGGCATGTTTTAAATAGAGTTCGAATGGAAGAAATTATTAAAACTTACAATAAAGAGATGGAAACAGAGTTAACATCTGAAATAGAAAGAAAATGGTCACTTGGAGAAAAACAAAGATTTTGTCTCGCTCGAGCAATTCTAAGACAAAAAAAGATATTAATACTTGATGAAGCCACTGCAAATATTGATGAAGAATCCAATTTCATCATCCAAAGAGTTTTAAGGTCCCAATTAATATATTCTACTATAATTGTACTTACAAGGAGATTACACATGGCCCTCGATGCTGACATAGTTGTTGTTTTAGAAGATGGTAGGGTCATGGAACAAGGAGACCCTGCGAATTTATCCAGAAATGAGTCATCCTTATTTTATAAGATGTTACATTATGAAGATGGTGACCTATCTGATACAGCCGAGAGTTTACAATCTGAATTAGATGTTGTTCAAGAAACAATAGGATATAAGGCTCCCTCACCTAAAAATTCTGATAAAGACGGAGATGAAGATGAAGACAAAGATGAAGATGAAGATGAAGACGAAGACGGAAATAGAGGTGATGATGTACACACTGAACGAGAATCAAGTATGCCCCCTTTGGAGCAATATTCAACAGATAACATTCAATCTGATAGTGACGTAGACTTTTTAAGTGCCGAAGAAGAGAGGCAAATTAAAAGTGATGAGGACATTGAATCAAAAGAAGAGTATGACACAGAAGAAAAAGACGATAAAAAAGATAAAGACTAGGAGATTGAAAAAAATAAATGATTATATTGCACAACAATGAACAAGTTCGTATTATAAACCTAATAAATTTATACATTTTAATGAATAATTCATAAATTGATTATCTTAAGAATTATATTATTACGTAACCGGAAGGGAAAATATTCTCCAATTGCTAAGTCCTTACTAACCTTGACCCCTGAAATGAAAATATTAACAATAGCATTCTGTTTAAAAACGTAAAACACATGTCAAGTTCATGTTATTGTTTAAGTATGCACTGAGTGAATTTTTTAGGGAGGCATAGTAATTGTATAATTTTAATTTTTAAAAGCTGTGCATACGAGTAAACGAGCACGCGAGCATTATTTTATTATTCATGTTCAAGAGTGTCGAATATTTAATGAGATAAAAAAAGACAGTAATCACATACTTACTCAGTTGGGAGGATTTAGCTTTAGGATGAGTAGCTCAATAACTGTTGGTTGGCATGAATTTCCACCTCTAGCGTACTTATCAGATAAAGGTGAAATACAAGGTTACTTCATAGAGCTCATAAATGAGGTTGCTGAAATATGCTGGAACAACGAGAGCATTGTCTATACTTCTAAATATATGACTGTTGATGATTTAGAGTTTTCAGAGCATAAAGAAACCATTCTTTTGCCTTATCCGTCCATTCCTGATTCAGCTTTGTCTGAGGTATACTTTCCTCCATCTGTAGGAAGATTTTTGCCAGTTACCGAGTCTTTTGGTTCATTTTTGATTTTTAAAGAAAAATGGAGATTTTTTAACACAAATATAGGTTTGGTTATGTCTTATTGGAAATTTTTGATACTTTTAATGTCGGCAACTACATGGGCCGGCTTGTTCATGTGGATTTTAGTAAGTATACAGTATTTGATTTCCTGCATTACAGCATTTATATCTCCTTTTTAGGAGAGAAAAAAAAATTCAGAATTTTTTCCCCTTGATACTTTCAGAGGAGTTTTTGAAGGATTTTGGTGGGCTTTTGTAGCAATGAGTACTGTTGGTTTTGGCGACAAGTATCCAAAAGGCATTGTCGGTAAACTTTTCGCTGTCATATGGATATTAATTAGTCTAATATTGGTATCAGTGTTCACTGCCAATATAACATTAGAACTAAATTTAGAAGGCATTCGGTATACTCATGATATACTATATAAGACAGTAGCTGTTATGACTGGGTCTTCAGACGTGGGTATAACTTTAGCGAAAGGAGGTCGACCAAGAGGTAAGTAAAGTTGATTAAAATTTTCAAAATAATATATTAGAACGTAATTACGACATTTTTAAAATAGAATTTAACACTTTGAAAGAAATTTTTGAGAGTGTTGAAAAGGAAGAAACTAATTACGCTCTAGTCGGCCATTATCCAGCTGTTCACGCTCTTGAAAGAAATCTCAATGAAAAAAGTTCCATTCGAATTGTAGAGAGCTTTCCTCATAGACAAATATACGGCATTAAAGTGACGAAGAAGCTCGACAGATGTTTCTTACGGAATATTGCTCGTAGAAGAAGAAAATTCTCTTCCGCCATTAGAAATATAACCGTAGCCTATATTGAAGTAAATACAACATAAGTTTTTTAAGCTAATAGATAAGAAAATTATGATAATCTTTTTATTCATTTATGCTGTTACAGAGTACTCTTCTAAATGAAGATTTCAGTGTAAGTCAGTACGGTACGGTATCATGGCAAGCTCTTGTGTATTCAACATCTTCTTGGCTTTTGATTGTTACTACTATCGGTATATGTCAAAAATGTAATTGTTTATTAAAATTCAAAAAAAAATTGCCTTGTGTCTGTTAATTCTAATACAGGTCACTTGTGCATTCCATCAAAAGATATTAGGTGCCGAAAATTGTATAGGACTATTTATATTTATTCAATATTTTTAGTTTACTTTTCGTTGAAATTTGTAAAATTATATGAGAAATAATAAAAGAAAACTGTTTACCCTCATGTGCTATTAAAGTTGTGAACTTTAAAAGTCAGTGCACTTTGATGTTTGTTATTACTTCATGCGTATTTTCAAAAGATGAAAAGACCTTTGTTTTATTTCAAGTTAACAGATTCATATCTGTTTCGTTAGAAATCCATTTTATACTATAACACATACGACTACAAAATGCTAGTTTTATGAATAATTGAACGTGGTGTCTTTCTTGAATAAAGAAAGAAAAGATATCTCAAGATTTTCTATAAAAGAAAAGGAAGATTACTAGACTAGAATAAAGTAAAGTAGGTCGTATGAATAAGAATACCATATATTTCTAAATAAATTTAAATTGCTATAAATCATTTATAGATTTATAGAAATTATGTAATTTGATAGAGCAATATACATATAGATTATTTATCACGTCCTTGAATTTCATTGGCAGTAATGCTACTTTAATTTCAAATAAATGAAGTATATATATATAAATATGTTTCTCTACACAAGCGTTAAATTGTATAAACTAATGAATACGCTTATTGATTGTGTTACTTTTGTTTGATTCAAATTATAGTGCAATTATTACTTCATTTAGATGAAATAATTATATGAAACTACGAACTCAAAGATGAATAGCTCAATAAGTATTGGCTGGCTTGAAATGCCTCCATTTATATACTTGTCAGAGTCAGGTAAAGTACAAGGATATTTTGTAGAACTAATTGACGAAATTGCTAAAACCTGTTGGAAGAATAAGAGTGTTATATATTCTTCTAAGTATTCATCTATCAAAGATATGAGATTATCCGTTGGGAGAGATAATATCCTACTACCATATCCCTTCCTTTCCAAATCGAGGATACCAGTAGCAGGCTACGATAGTTATGATATATATAGCATACCAGTAATAGAATCTAATGGAGGGTTTTTATTTAAGAAAGAGCATACAAACTTTTTTAATGAAAATATAATATTGATATTATCATATTGGAAATTCATCTTACTTCTTGGATCTGCTACAGCCTGGATCGGACTCTTAATGTGGTTTATGGTTTGTACGAACTATTAATAAGGGTTTTATCTCCTAGAGTTGAATTTTTGTAGGAAAGGAGAATAAATAAAGAACAATTTCCAAAAGACGCATTAGTTGGAATTTTTGAAGGTATCTGGTGGGCTTTCGTTACTATGAGTACTGTTGGATATGGAGATAGATATCCAAAGCGTATTGTTAGTAAAGTTGTTACTTTATTTTGGATATTAATCAGTTTAATAATGATGTCTGTGTTCACGGCAAATATTACTTTTGAATTAAATTTCGACGGGGCTCTTAACGCTCCTACACTTCTTTTTAAGAGAGTATCAGTTGTGCAAGATATGGAAGAACGGAGAGTATGCTTGTCAAAAGGTGGTGTGCCAATTGGTGCGAAAATTTTAAATATTCTTCTTGTATTATATTAATAAAATAGTAAAAATAGAATAATTCATAGAATACAATACTACGGAAGAAGTTCTTCAAAGCGTTTCTAGTGAGAAAGTATCTTATGGTTTAATTGGCCAATATCCAGCAGTATACATTCTAAATAAAGGTTTAAAAGATAAAACAATTGGAATAGTAGATAATTATGAGTACGATGAAATATTTGGCTTAAAAGTAATGGGAAGACCGGACAAGTGTTTACTAGAAACTATAGCTAGTAGAAAGAAAAAATATTCTCTATTTAACAACATCAGCGAAAAATATTTAACAGTAAGATAGAATATGCTTTGTTAACACTTAACTAAGTGAATTAATCATTATTTTTTAGAAGTGGATCATAAATAAAGACCGCATGATGAAAAGCCAAGGTGAAACGATTTTACCAGTAATTCTAGTGACAATGTCTTGTTGGCTAGTTATTGTTCTTATAGTTTATGTATATCAGAGGGTACATAAAAATAACGATACTAGATGCATAAGGCATATATAGAGTTTTCAAATGTCTATCTCTGGAAAAAGTTTTCAAAATAGATGACTTATAGCAGAAATGGTAGTTTAGTATTCTATTTAAACTATATAAATTTTTGAAAATATATCTTTTTTATTTATTTATATATGTAATTCATCCAATATTCATGTAAGTAAACTAAGAACGTCATATATAGATTATTAATATAATATAAAACACATTTTTGCAATAAAAAATGTTTATATGTTTGTACTGTAGAGTATTTATTTGTGAACCAGTTAAAAGTTAAATACCTCGACATAATCGTTGTTTTTTAAATTCATTTCCATTAATTTATTTGAAATATACAATATTTAATAATAAACCTACCTTATGAATAATGAAAAAGCAAGTTTTCATTTATTACATTAAACAACATTGCATAACTTGAGATACTTTAGTGTTTGGATAGTAAATTAATACCAGGGTTATGGTACTATTCATAACATATACTTACACATAATTGATGTACGATATACTTTTGATAGTTTGAGCTGCAACAGATGGGAGTTTTCGAAATTTAGTAAGCTAGATAAGTAATCAGGTGTGTATTATTATAACTAAATAGCTAAAATTCAATATAATATTTAGATAAACTCTCTAATTAATAGACATATATATAATGTATATTATTCATTCTAGTATATGTATTCTACAGATTTTATATAATCTGGAATTATGAAGGAGTGTTCATCGAATAATAGTCAACTACTGAACATGGGATGGTTTCCATCTAAGCCTTTCAGCTACTTAACAAAAGATGGTCGAGTTTTTGGCAACTTTTTAAATTTAATACATAAATCTTTGAAAGATTGCTGTAATAATATTCTTGAAAAGGCTTATTATAACAAATATAATAATTTAGAGGAGATGAGAACTCTGCAGGAAAATGAAGAATTGTTATTTCCATACTCTCATAAGACAGACTTTTTCGGAGTTGAACCAGAATTAAAGGATCGAAAATTTGTTCCTATCCTTCAATCAACAGAAGCTTTTATTTTATCTAATCAGCCAGACTACCCTGGTTTGGCTGAAATTAATCAAATTATTGGCTATTGGCAGCATCTACTCGTCATGTTGGTTGGAAGTGCCTATGTTGGTCTTATTATTTGGCTAATTGTAAGGTATTTAATTTTATATTTCTAACATTTAACGAATTATATATATACTAAAAGGAAAAATGGAAAAATAAGGATCATTTTTCTAATAAACCTTACAAAGGGATAGTTGAAGGATTTTATTGGGCTTGTGTAACAATGACAACAGTTGGGTACGGTGATAAATATCCAAAAGCTATCTTTGGTAAAATTATCACAGTATGCTGGGCAGTTTATAGTTTGGCAATAGTTTCTTTATTCACTGCAAGTATAGCATCGGGTCTAACTGCAAAGGAAATAAACAGACTGAGTTTAAAAGAGAAAGACATTGGTGTTATCAATGGTTCCCTTGAAATTCAACTAATCACCGATGATTCTGGAAATCCTATATGTAAGCCATTTTGGTTTATAAAATATATCTTTGGAATCAAATATATTTACCAAATAATCTTCCTACAGATTTTCAGACTTTGAAAGGAGTGATGGAGAGTCTAGTGGCAGGACATATACATTTTGCATTAGTTGACCAATACAGCGCTGCTGAAATTGTTAATTTGGTTAATACTAGTAATTTGAATACCATAACAATTTTGGGGTCACTTGTCCAACGTACAACCCACGGTATTCTTGTTCATGATGTTGACGACGATTGTATTATAGATGGTTTGATTAAACATCGGTATACATACGAAAAGAAAATTAAAGATCATACCAGGAAAAATTTGGTAATCTATGAATATCTATCATGATTTGACAATATAAACAAACATATTTTATTAACCGATAGGATAAATTTCACAAATACAAAGCATTAAGAGCTAGTAATTTTCCTTGGGAAATTTTAGTCATACTCTTAGCTGGATGGGTTGGATTATACATTTTGTTCAGTTTAGTGCATATATTTATGAGACTTACCAGAAGAAAAGGTATTGGTCGATAAATTTTGCTTTCTAACTTAAAGTTTTTTATTCATAAATTAGGACCGAAAAAACAAACAGAAATAGAAGACAAACATACAAGGCGATTTAATGAAATATACAATATCTAATATAATATAAACTTTCCATTTATTCTGTTCTTTTAATAAAAGCAATAATCTTTTTTCTATGATTCATCGTTTAAGAATAATTTCAGTACCAATATTGATAACAGCATATCTTTTATTTGCTATGGAATCAACGCTAAACAATATTATCTATGAAACTAGAACATTACAAAATTGGATACGATATTACTTACAACATTTATTATGAAAGCTAGTCTATGGGATATTGTTGTTCCATCACAACCCTCACAACCTGAAGTAACAGAAAATAATATAACCTCAAACTATACTGCATGTGAAAGACATCAAAATAATCTCTTCTATTTTTTACATATTGCCAATGCCCCAGCATGTTTAATAGTAATAATTTTAAGTTTTTTCGAAAAAAGGACGAAATTTTTACCTAAAATATGTGGAGGAAGGCCAAAGCTACCTTTAGCAATAAATTTTATTGACGATTATAATAATCGATGGAGTTTTGCAATTGCTTTTGGTGCTACAACAAACTTTATTATTTCTATCTTCTTCGGTATGAACGACTTATATTTTATCATTTATTAAAATATTTAAAAAGTTTAAGAAATAGCTTATTTAACAATGATATAAATGAAAAAGTATTACTCTTTATAGGTGTAGCATAAATTGTATCTTTCACTGTTATCATTGCTGTTCAGGTAGTTCACTACTTCCGTATCCTGGCTACGCTAGAGTACTTGTCATACTTGGGCTAAGTTTGGAAATCTGTGTTGCTTTCTATCCATTTTTTGCCTGCTTATACACTGAACAAAAACTTGTGGGCGGTCTATTGGGTTTTATTTACTCTGGATGTTGGCTTGCTGTAAAACTATTGGTTATGAGTCGATGCTGGGATCCGATTCCCGAAATAATCAAATATTCTACAGTAGTAACTCAGTTACCATCTCTATTATGCTTTTCTTTTCTTGTTTGGAAATTTTTTATAATATTAATTCAATGCTACTTCAAAGTACCAAAATATTATATTACCTCTTTATCTCTGCTATTACTTTAACTTAAATGAGCACATTTTTTCAGAAAAGAGCTGTTGAGAAGAGATCAAATAAAATCTGCTGGAGACATCAATTTAGTTATGTTTATGAAATGTTACATCCAAAGGAAAGGGAGGAGAATAAAACATGGAAGTGGGTAATAAAGAGAATGATAGGGTATTCTCCCAATTTTAAATATTCTACAAGAGTACTATCGGCTTTGGTTGCCTCAATCTCGTGCACTTATCAATTGGCAGCATTCAGTTTTCATTTAACAGCTGTTATTATTCGATCACTATGGAAATCAGGCCAGGAATTAATAACAGAAAGAAATTTAACTAGCAACTCAACAGAGAGGAGAAGGATAATAATAACTTACCATTTAATAAGAGTTTCATTTGCGGTTACGAATTGTCTTGTTATACTAGTTTTTGTTTATAGTATTTTCGATATAGCTATCAGCTATAAAAAAAGTTTGTCAAATTTTGCGTCCGGCAGATGGCGTGCCTCTTTAAAGGGCAGTTTAGAAAATAGTGGATCTTTAACAGCTAGTTGTCTAAGATATTGTGGATATCAGATTGCCTTTACAATTTGGGGATTTTTTATCATTAATTCCGTCTCATGGAGTATTTGTCTACTGATTAGCTTCGTAATAATATTACCAATAACAGATGGTAATTGGGCTATTATAAGATTTATTGCACAATATATAATTTTACCATCGGTGACGGGTCTGGGACTAAAAATATTCCAACAAGTTATTTCTAGGAAATTCATATTGCAAGAGAAATTAAAGGAAGAGGATGAAGATCAACCACTATCACTTTTAAGACGATCTCTCTTTCATATGATGAGCTATGTCTTCTTTCTGGCCAATGTCAACGTGGGTCTGGCTTCCGCCTTAATGAGGGTATTAAAAGGATCAGTAATAGGATTATTTTGGCTGGGTCGAATAGATCGAGCAATTTTAATGAGAGATTTTGAGAAATTTGATGGAGGTTATCAAGCTTACTTAGGCATGGTAATACTAGAGCACAACCATAATAATCCTATTCTTAGGTGCTTCTGTCAAATTTTACGTGACGATCAACAATCAGGGTCAGAGTTCAAGGATAAGGAGGAGAACCTGGAACAAAATACGGTAAATTAAACTAAATACAGAATTTATGTTCCCCTTGCCAATATTTTTTGCTTCAATAATGTTTTGTTTCTATTTTCTTGTCCTTAGATGACCTGTTGTCGTGCTAATGAAGTGGCAGATGGGGAAGAAAGAGAAATGGAAGAAGTTCAACAACAACGGCCTAATAAAAGATGGAGAAATCAATGGAGAGTGGCTTATATGATTCTTCGTAATCCTAGCTTAGTAAAATATCGTCGGAAGCCTTTGGTCGAGAAAAAGGACGAAAATGATTTATTAAGTGTTGCTAAGAAAATATATGCAGATTGGAAAGAGGAAAAACAAATTAAAGCAGATTTAAAAGATGAAAAGAACAATAAAGAATAATTTTCGAACCAATTATCTGTTTTTGTAATTATTCTTCTTTTATATAATTGCTCTTAACAATAAACTTTTAATGTACAAAAAAAGGTCCTGTTTCTTATTGTATTAAAAATTGAGTATCAAATGAAAATGATAAAGGTACCGAAATAAAACCATTTTAGTTCTGTTTACCTAATAAGCACCAGAATTATTGATAAACTTTAACACTAGCATAATTATAAAACATTGTAACACATAGAAAAAGAATGAGCAATAAGCGTGGAAAAAATATAATGGAAAATTATAGAAATATTGTGAGAATAGGAGAAAGAGAAAAGAAGGGAAGAGCGAAAGATAGAGGAAGAGAGAGAGAGAGTAACAGTCCAGGCTAAAGAACAAAAAAAGTTTTTTATGGTAATGAGAATAGAGGACGGCCCCAAAAATATTGGCAATTAGAATAACAATAGTAACAGAATTTAATATGCTCTAACAATAAACGGCTGTGCTTCAAACCCACTCGCTAACGTAATAGCGAAGATGGGTGGCTGGAAATGGGGGAAAAAGGACGAGGGAAATATTCAGAGCGCATATTTTCCCTACATATCTTTATTATTTTGATACTCTAATTAATATGGTTAGAAATTACAAAATAAAAGGAAAATAGTTAGTGATTTTCCTAACCAATTCCCAAACACAGAAAAAATATCAGGCATCTGCAAAATTCCCAGCACGATTTCGAAAAAAACAAGCTTAACAGTCCCTTAGGAATTTAGCGGGGGAGAAATTTTTCATTTTTCCCTCCTCTTACCGCCTTCTTAATTCCTAATGTGACTTTTTTTTCTTCTTTTATAATTTTCTCTATTCGAATTCCCTTTCCCTTCTTTCTTCTTCCTTATTGATTAACAAAATTGTAATTTTCAAATTGGGAATTGGTGTATTTTCTCTCCTGCTTACTTAGCAAGCAATATAAGTAGCCCGTGGTAACACCAGGTGGCGTTGTCAACATTCCTTCAAATTCATTATTTATTCCGACTAAAGCTTAGGCACTAGATCGACTACTACCAACATTTAATAAAAAAAAGGTTCGTTGACGCATTTATTTGTATAAAGCAATATATGAAAGGCGAAAATTGTTTCATGAATATTCATGTATATATTTTCTTACAAGTCACCAAAAAATTTATTTTATAGTTGCTCTTTTATTCTTACGACAGTGTTTACTATTTGTTTACTTTTCGTTAAAAAGCTAAAAAGTTGGACAGGAAGGGAAGGATAGGGAAAAAGTAAAGTAAATTTTTTGATTTTAATTGAAAATAGACCTAGAATAAAGAAACTCTCTTTAAAAAATGCCGCTTTAATAAGGTTTCTGTTCTCCGTCTAAATTTGTTGTTCTCTTTATACTTACTATACTCCAGCTCTCTCTCTCCTTCATTAAGCGATACCATCCTGAGCTTCCGGTCAGAATGTAGGCTTAACGTAGGGCTATGTGATGAAAGAAAGTGACAGCACATGTGACTTATTCACGAATGAAATGCGTAAAACGTATAAAAATGGCATTAAATGTACATATAATTTACAATACATTGATAATTACTATAGATGATAAAAAAGCTAGAAAAAAGTGCGTGTTGGACGCAAAGAGCAGTTGAGTCCGTTTCCGGTCTGTCGATTTCCTTGTTTCGTGATAGCTGTAGAGATTTCAAATGAAATCAATTGATTGATTTCTTATGCTCGTCTTTTATAAAATTGTAATGTCGTTTAAAAAATAGCCCGGATGAAAATATGCCTAATTAGTACATTCTTTTGTAAATAATTTACTTAAATAATTAATAATAAAAGAAGAAATACACAAAAAAAGCAAATAATTAGCCTATTTTACAACGGTTATATTTTTAAAGGTGCAGCCTTAGGTGATATTTAGTGCAGATGGAGAGAAGATTGACAAAAAAAAAAGTATAAGAGATAGCGGAGGGCAACAGAAAAAGCGTCTGCCTCAAGTTCCATTGATTGTAGGTGTGAAGTTTACTTCGTAAACTTTTTTGCACTTTTCGTCCATTTCATGCTTTTTTCCCTCTCAATAAAACGTCATTCTCCTACTACTAGCTTATCTATTATTTAATGTGTACTCGACGATTGTTCTCATTCAGGATGAACACAAGGAAAAATATTAAGTAGGCCTAAAATGATTTCTATATCATAGTTTTATAAGCGTAGTGAGTGTAGTCTATAAATGAAAAATAGAAAGCTCATTTCCATGATAAAATATTATTTCCGTTGCGAGTAAGTAAATATGACAAAAGTTCCTTTCCAATGATGACGAAAAAGACGTGAAAAGTAAGTGAAGAAGAGAAAGAGAAAAAGAATAATAAAGTGAAGAGAAAAAAGAAAAAATGATCTAGAGATTTCTTTTTCTTTATTCATATTTATATATATATCGTAACAATTTTGTAGTTTTATATAATTTAACGAATAGTCATGGAAGTGAAAGAGACGCTTTGTCTGTTTGTACAAACTGAACGTAATTTATAGGGAATGATAGAGAAGCCCGGAGATAAAATTTCGATGTCAGTTTATTCCGGGAAGAGATTTTATTTGGTTAATAGCCTGAAAATATTGATTTAGAACAAATATTCGCTAAATCGTTAACACCCACCGCCCCCTCTTCCTCTTTCCTTCCATTCCTTGTCAAAATTGACGAAAATGCCAGTTACGCATGGAAAGTTTGTTTAAGGCATCTTTTTTTTTCTTTATTATTTTCTCTTCGACTTTTTTTTAAACCGTCACTTCTTTTTTTAGAATAGATAAATAAAACCGTGTGAAAAAAAGAAAAAGGAATACAAAAATAGTATGGAAAACCTCCTACCGGGAAGAGCCGAAGCGGAAGTAGCGTAGATCTGTCTTCTTTCATTGTAAGTCGAAATTGATAGTTTCTATTTTCTATATTTGGCAAATTAGACGATAAGAACATGACTCACAGAATTGACAGTGATTCATTTTACTCGTTAAAAAAGAGCTGTGAGTAGAAAAAGGGTTAGAATATCGATCTAGGGAGTAAGGTGAAGAGGAAAAGGAAGGGAGTCCCGCTTTCTTTACAGTTAATCGTTTTTTCGCTCTCCTTCACGTTTCTTTGAAACTAAAAGCTGGGCATAGCCTTGACTCTTTGGCCTAAAAGAGTATTTTCTCTACTACCGCTCTTGTAAAACGAGTCTTTGAGTGGAGAATGTATACCTGACTGGGATCTATTAAAAGTCGACGATGGGATGAAAGGATTTAGCAGGGAAAAGAGTATCTTATTTAATAAAGAAATTTACCATATATTTTCTATGTTAGACACGTTTTCCAACTGTTTTTCTTTCAGTTAAGTTTGTCTTTACCCTTTTAGAGCATGTGTTGCAGTACTGCAAGGTGTAAAGGAAGCTGCAGATGCATCTGCATTTCATGCCGCCAATGCTCAGTATGTGGAGGAACAGCTCACGTTGAAAATTTTATAATTTCTGGTAAGTTGCTTTCCCGTTTTTGTCAACAAGACATAGTGAAAGCATTAATTACTGCATCCTATTGGCTCTGTTTCCTTTTTTTATACCTTAATTAATAAAATATTAATGACTAGCGTTAAAATTTACGCCTGCAGAAGCAGAAAAGATTGTTAAGTCGGAATCGACTTCCTCCTCGGTTAGTAATAAATCAACGTCAAGCAAACTAAGTTGGTCAAGTCTGAATAGGTTGAAAATATGGGTTAGGGAAAGAATGTCAAAAGAAAATCATTCAGAAGACGACCAATGCTCTATAATGTAGAAAAGAAAATTGAAGATATTTTTGAAAGGATTCGATGATACTTGAAGGAAATGAAAAATGATAAATAATAATAATAATAAAAATGTCATGCCAAACAATTTGTCCAGTCTGTCTTGAATAAAAACTTGCTCTTTTTTAATTGTTTTTGCATATATTTTATTCTAATAAAATGTTATATATAAATATAATTTTTATTATTATTTATATGAGACAATATGCATTATCTGCAATATCTGCAATATTTAGAATATTTCGAAAACTATAACAATGATAAAAGAGATGATTATATATTACTATTAATACCTAATATTTCAATATAATGTACAAATGTATTCAACTAAAACTATAACAACTGACTGTATATTTTGTATATAGCTCGTTTTTACATTTGTTTGTTTGTTAACTGTTTACAACAATTGAAAAAAAATGCTTTAAATAATAAAAAAACGAGTCTGGTTACGTAAGAAATAATTTTACGATTTCAAACATGCTACAGATAACAATAGAAAATAGAAAAAAAACACTATTGTATGCCAAATTCCTCTTTTTTAGCCTGCAAGCATAAAGAGCGTTAATTAAAGGCAAAGATGATAAATTCGACCTTTAGGTCTTAATGGTTTTTTTTTGTGAACATCTATATTAATTATTAACCAGTCACTATTATTAAATATAGGTATATGGAAACGGTATTAGAATAACTATTAAACATGTTAAACTTTACTTTTCGGCATTTTTTTGGTTCTGCACACGGCACTACAAAAAACAGTTGGAGGATTTCTCATGTGAACATTTAGTTACGAAAAATTACAACTACAAAAATATACCATATGCTTTACGTTGAAGATTGAATTAAGATAGAATTTTCATAATATTATCTTTAAGTGAAATAATAAATAAAACCTGTTATTTCCCTTCAAGATAACTTCATTGCTATATAAAAGACGCCTTACAAATGAAGTGGATTTATATTCAAAGATGAGAAGTTTAATTGTTTGCATCTTACTGGGTGTGACCCTTTCAAAACCTATTGACAACAATCCAGAACTAGGAAGTATCTATCTTTTTTCTGTATATTTGTTGAAAAAGATATTTTATTCTTTACTGAAGTTTACTTAAACACTTTTTATTTCATTTTGCAGATCACTTCGAGGGTGACATCCTTATTCCAAAAACTGGTTTACCACTTGTAGGTCCAGCTAATGCGATATGGAATAAAAATCTTAAATGGA